TTGTCAGAGTAGGAGCTCTAGTCTAATGGGACAATGTCAAATTTAACGCACCCTCTGAGGCGGCCGAGAAACAGCGCCACGAAATGGGCAGAAAATGCATTAGGCAGCTTATTGTGCACTGTCTAAAGTGCAAAATTCAAAAATTCATTAAAAAAAAATTCTACAGTAAAAACTGCTCAAAATTTGGATTTCGTTAGAGTAGGAGCTCTAGTCTAATGGGACTTGGTCAAATTTAACGCACCCTCTGAGGCGGCCGAGAAACAGCGCCACGAAATGGGCAGAAAATGCATTAGGCAGCTTATTGTGCACTGTCTAAAGTGCAAAATTCAAAAATTAATTAAAAAAATATTCTACAGTAAAAACTGCTCAAAATGTGGATTTTGTCAGAGTAGGAGCTCTAGTCTAATGGGACAATGTCAAATTTAACGCACCCTCTGAGGCAGCCGAGAAACAGCGCCGCAGATTGGGCAGAAAATGCATTAGGCGGCTTATTGTGCACTGTAAAAAGCAAAATTCAAAAATTAATTAAAATAAAAATCTACAGTAAAAACTGCTCAAAATTTGGATTTCGTTAGAGTAGGAGCTCTAGTCTAATGGGCCTTGGTCAAATTTAACGCACCCTCTGAGGCGGCCGAGAAACAGCGCCACGAAATGGGCAGAAAATGCATTAGGCAGCTTATTGTGCACTGTCTAAAGTGCAAAATTCAAAAATTCATTAAAAAAAAATCTACAGTAAATACTGCTCAAAATGTGGATTTCGTCAGAGTAGGAGCTCTAGTCTAATGGGACTTTGTCAATTTTAACGCACCCTCTGAGGCGGCCGAGAAACAGCGCCACGAAATGGGCAGAAAACGCATTAGGCAGCTTATTGTGCACTGTAAAAAGCAAAATTCAAAAATTCATTAAAAGAAAATCTACAGTAAAAACTGCTCAAAATTTGGATTTCGTCAGAGTAGGAGCTCTAGTCTAATGGGACTTTGTCAAATTTAACGCACCCTCTGAGGCGGCCGAGACACAGCGCCACGAAATGGGCAGAAAATGCATTAGGCAGCCTATTGTGCACTGTCTAAAGTGCAAAATTCAAAAATTCATTAAAAAAAAAATCTACAGTAAACACTGCTCAAAATTTGGATTTCGTTAGAGTAGTAGCTCTACTCTAATGGGACTTTGTCAAATGTAACGCACCCTCTGAGGCGGCCGAGAAACAGCGCCACGAAATGGGCAGAAAATGCATTAGGCAGCTTATTGTGCACTGTCTAAAGTGCAAAATTCAAAAATTCATTAAAAAAAAATTCTACAGTAAAAACTGCTCAAAATGTGGATTTCGTCAGAGTAGGAGCTGTAGTCTAATGGGACTTTGTCAAATTTAACGCACCCTCTGAGGCGGCCGAGAAACAGCGCCACGAATTGGGCAGAAAATGCATTAGGCAGCATATTGTGCACTGTCTAAAGTGCAAAATTCAAAATTTCATTAAAAAAATATTCTACAGTAAAAACTGCTCAAAATGTGGATTTTGTCAGAGTAGGAGCTCTAGTCTAATGGGACAATGTCAAATTTAACGCACCCTCTGAGGCGGCCGAGAAACAGCGCCACGAATTGGGCAGAAAATGCATTAGGCAGCATATTGTGCACTGTCTAAAGTGCAAAATTCAAAATTTCATTAAAAAAATATTCTACAGTAAAAACTGCTCAAAATGTGGATTTTGTCAGAGTAGGAGCTCTAGTCTAATGGGCCTTGGTCAAACTTAACGCACCCTCTGAGGCGGCCGAGAAACAGCGCCACGAAATGGGCAGAAAATGCATTAGGCAGCTTATTGTGCACTGTCTAAAGTGCAAAATTCAAAAATTCATTAAAAAAAAATTCTACAGTAAAAACTGCTCAAAATGTGGATTTCGTCAGAGTAGGAGCTCTAGTCTAATGGGACTTTGTCAATTTTAACGCACCCTCTGAGGCGGCCGAGAAACAGCGCCACGAAATGGGCAGAAAACGCAGTAGGCAGCTTATTGTGCACTGTAAAAAGCAAAATTCAAAAATTCATTAAAAAAATATTCTACAGTAAAAACTGCTCAAAATTTGGATTTCGTCAGAGTAGGAGCTCTAGTCTAATGGGACTTTGTCAAATTTAACGCACCCTCTGAGGCGGCCGAGACACAGCGCCACGAAATGGGCAGAAAATGCATTAGGCAGCTTATTGTGCACTGTCTAAAGTGCAAAATTCAAAAATTCATTAAAAAAAAAATCTACAGTAAAAACTGCTCAAAATTTGGATTTCGTTAGAATAGTAGCTCTACTCTAATGGGACTTTGTCAAATTTAACGCACCCTCTGAGGCGGCCGAGAAACAGCGCCACGAAATGGGCAGAAAATGCATTAGGCAGCTTATTGTGCACTGTCTAAAGTGCAAAATTCAAAAATTCATTAAAAAAAAAAATCTACAGTAAAAACTGCTCAAAATGTGGATTTCGTCAGAGTAGGAGCTCTAGTCTAATGGGACTTTGTCAAATTTAACGCACCCTCTGAGGCGGCCGAGAAACAGCGCCACGAATTGGGCAGAAAATGCATTAGGCAGCATATTGTGCACTGTCTAAAGTGCAAAATTCAAAATTTCATTAAAAAAATATTCTACAGTAAAAACTGCTCAAAATGTGGATTTTGTCAGAGTAGGAGCTCTAGTCTAATGGGACAATGTCAAATTTAACGCACCCTCTGAGGCGGCCGAGAAACAGCGCCACGAAATGGGCAGAAAATGCATTAGGCAGCTTATTGTGCACTGTCTAAAGTGCAAAATTCAAAAATTCATTAAAAAAAAATTCTACAGTAAAAACTGCTCAAAATGTGGATTTCGTCAGAGTAGGAGCTCTAGTCTAATGGGACTTTGTCAATTTTAACGCACCCTCTGAGGCGGCCGAGAAACAGCGCCACGAAATGGGCAGAAAACGCATTAGGCAGCTTATTGTGCACTGTAAAAAGCAAAATTCAAAAATTCATTAAAAAAATATTCTACAGTAAAAAGTGCTCAAAATTTGGATTTCGTCAGAGTAGGAGCTCTAGTCTAATGGGACTTTGTCAAATTTAACGCACCCTCTGAGGCGGCCGAGACACAGCGCCACGAAATGGGCAGAAAATGCATTAGGCAGCTTATTGTGCACTGTCTAAAGTGCAAAATTCAAAAATTCATTAAAAAAAAAATCTACAGTAAAAACTGCTCAAAATTTGGATTTCGTTAGAATAGTAGCTCTACTCTAATGGGACTTTGTCAAATTTAACGCACCCTCTGAGGCGGCCGAGAAACAGCGCCACGAAATGGGCAGAAAATGCATTAGGCAGCTTATTGTGCACTGTCTAAAGTGCAAAATTCAAAAATTCATTAAAAAAAAAAATCTACAGTAAAAACTGCTCAAAATGTGGATTTCGTCAGAGTAGGAGCTCTAGTCTAATGGGACTTTGTCAAATTTAACGCACCCTCTGAGGCGGCCGAGAAACAGCGCCACGAATTGGGCAGAAAATGCATTAGGCAGCATATTGTGCACTGTCTAAAGTGCAAAATTCAAAATTTCATTAAAAAAATATTCTACAGTAAAAACTGCTCAAAATGTGGATTTTGTCAGAGTAGGAGCTCTAGTCTAATGGGACTTTGTCAAATTTAACGCACCCTCTGAGGCGGCCGAGAAACAGCGCCACGAAATGGGCAGAAAACGCATTAGGCAGCTTATTCTGCACGGTAAAAAGCAAAATTCAAAAATTGAGATAAGATGTAGAGCCCCCAATTGAGCCAACAATGCAATGGCTTTTTATACAGTAAAACGTGAAATTGTGCATGATTAGGCTATATTCAAGGAGATACAGGGTAAAACATCAGTAAATAGGCCAACAATGTTATAACTCTTCTGTATTTTGTCAGATTCATTGGGTCCATATCTTTCTAATGTACAGTAACCATGCAATGGCACTTTCAAGTCAATGCAATTGAATTTAATTCATACAGTCATTTGTATAACCCTTTTCACAATACATATAATTTCTAGGCAGCTTTACAGAAAATGCAGGTTTCTATGTTACAAAACCACAATAGGATTTAATGAGATGATATCAGAAAGTACAGTTATAAGATACCACAAATTATAGTATTTACAAATATCATATATGCATCTAAGCAAAATTAATGTGTATGTTAAAGCAATTATAAATAGATCATTTTGTATAATCATTCATGTTTGATGTTCTGGAGTCCTTGCAAGGGTAGGTTTCATCTATTCAAATGTGCTGGGTCATCTGAAGTCTTCATAAGAGGCTGGATCCAAGCTGGAGCATAATCTCAGTAGGCTACCTTGTGAAATTCTAATTTGTAATAATAATAATTAAAAAAAAAAAAAACATGTATTGAATACATTCAAATGATGTTATTTGCAATAATTAAAGAATAATGTAGGCCTAATTATATTTTTACAGACATTTATGTGTTATTATTATTTATTTACCTTTCAAAATACTTTATTATTCTTTTCTGAAAAATATAAACAATACAAACAGGGTCTCTAATAAGTGTGAATAAGTGAAAAACCACACGGTCCCTAAATTGAGCTGATGACATACAATAATTAAAGAATAATGTAGCCTAATTATATTTATGTATATTTGTACAGTCCATTTTCGCTGATATATCAGTGTTATTTGCTTTTAAACATTTTTTATTATAATTTTATTCGGAATATAGACCCAAAAGTAACACAATCCCTTTAAAAACGCGAAAAAGAGAAAACCGCACGGTCCCTAAGTTGAGCGTCAATAAGAAGCCAGCAAACGCGGAAGTTCGCGTCATTTAAGGTGGAACGGATAGCGTCAATAAGAAGCTGCGAATAAGAAGCTGGATTCAGCCTCGTCATTTAAAGAGAGAGTTCAATATTATTTACTCGCCCTTATGTCATTTCACACCCATATGTCTCTCCATTAAACACAAAATATGATGAATTTTGTGTTTCTTGTGTGTCATCTTCTACAGGGAGGGTTTTTGCCCAATGTCTTCAAGGTTCTTGCCCATCGTCCTGATGAATTTCGGGCTTTCTTCTCTTATTATAATGCCCTCATGAACAAGGAAAGTGGTACGACCTTTTATTCATGCTTCATATTAGGAAGTAGTTCCTTTTTTATATTTAATTAATCTACATCTATACAACATTTTTTTTTTTTAAGTAGGTTTCAACCGGCGCAAGATTGAGTACCGGTAATTAGTGTTCGATATAGGAAATAATTCTGGAAAGTTGTCATGTCCTGAAGAATAGGGAAGTTTTTAAAAGATTTTGGTAGTTCTTTCATCGATATAACTGGAAACCACATGGAATAATTGTACGTGAAAACAAACATTTGTCACATCACAAGACTATTTAAAATGAATAAATAAAGGCACAGTAAAAAATCAGGATGACATAGGTTTTATTGTACTTTTTGTAACAGGGGGTCTGTCGAAAGCGGATCGGGAACTGATCGTTGTTGCGACCAGTGCTCACAATCATTGCTTGTATTGTGTGGTATCCCACAGTGCATTGCACCGCATCTATTCCAAAAAACCCTTGCTGGCTGATCAGGTACCTAAAATTTTATAACAAAACCATGTAAAACTGTCTATTGTCCAATAATCCTATAAATAATATGAAATGATGTTGAAAACTGAAAAGTGAGAATTATTATTATTATTAGGCATATAATTGATTTTACTGGTACTGTCCTGGCCCACAGGTTGCAGTTAATTACGGGGTTGCCGATCTGACCGCCCGTGAGAAAGCCATGCTGGACTTTGCTCTGACCGTCTGCAGGAGTGAAACAATAACTGAAGAACATTTCAGCACCCTGGAGGCTCATGGTTTTGACCGAGAGGACATTTGGGACATTTCTGCCATTGCTGCCTTCTTCGCCCTGTCCAACCGCATGGCCCATCTGACTGACATGAGACCTAACACAGAGTTTTACAACATGGGTAGAGTGCCGAGAGACCAAGCAAAAGCCTCTGATGGGCAGGTCAAGGGCGAATAGACTCATATCAGACTTTGGATCAAAGGTATAATATAACACCAAAAAAACCTGTCAAATAATCATTAAGCTGGATGTTAAAATCAGGAAAGAAAACAAGTTTTGCTAAATCTCACCCTAAGTGGCTTCTCTAACACTTTCACTGCTGTATGCACATGTAGATTTTGAGTTTTAATAGTTACATTTGTGTGTCAGTGTTAGTCCTCAAAATTATATCGAAACTCTTTTCCGACATTTTTTTTCTCTCGCAATTGTGAGTTTATATCTCACAATGCAGCCTTTATTTCTCACAATTGATATAAACTCACAGTTTTGAGGAAAATAGTCTGAACTGCGAGATATAAAAAATTAAAATGCTAATTGTGACTTCGGTGGCGGAGACAAGCTTCTATACTGTACAATAAAGAAGTCCTTGTTTATTTAAATTGTTTAGGCCTTGGTTGATTATTTATTAAAAGGAGAGAGAAGATCTGAATATTCACAAAACTGTCTTATAGTCAAAGTCTTATACAGTCAGATAATCATCTAATTTATAATGTAATTCTGTGAACATTTTTACTGCCTTTATTATCTGGGTTACTCTTTATTTTCATAGTCCACTTCAGACATTCTCCTAACTATAAGTAACTTTGCAACTACATGTCAACTAACTCTTATTAGAGTAATAGTAGACTGCTAGGTTAGGTTAGTCAAGTCATCTTCATTTATATAGCGCTTTTAACAATGGATTGTTTCAAAGCAGCTTTACAGAGATAAACATATAATTTAAGGTAACAGATTGTTTTGGCGTTATAGCGGTTCTTGAATAATGTTACTTCCAGCTAAAGTTAACTTTGATTGATTCACCTCCGTCGAAATGATCAGACTTTAAACGCGAACCTGTGATTAACGCTGACGGCGTTCACATGCTCATTCAGAATTCTATAGTTATGTGCTTTTTAAAATATGTGCGCAGGTTTGTAATTCATACAACCCAGCCTAAACAAACTACTTTTCTTGCCTATAAATTTTGATACAGAATTTTGTTTTATTTTATCACTTCGAGGGTTAGGGTTTGTGTAGTTGCAGAGTTAGTTAGTTAGTAGAATGTCTAAAGTGGACTTTCAGAATAAAGTGTAATGTGAATATCCAGTGCTGTGTTTTCTCTGAAATTACACTTTTCGGTAACGCTTTAGATTACAGCCCGGAAAGTACTGCGTAATTAAAGCAATTTTACAGCGTAACCTTCGGTAATTATAGTGTACCTATAATGTACTTACAATATAAGTATAAGGGAACAATATTTTAAGTTTGGGGAATAAAGGGGTAACAACCAGGAGAATTAAAAAATTATTTATACTGTAAGTATTATAGAACTAAGGGGTACTTTTTCTACTATTATGATATAACAATCTTACATTTGGGAGCAATTTAGCAAGAACATACACTCACTGCGTACCTTTTTGAAATAATGGTGAACCAGTACATACTGTATAGGCTTTATAAATGCATAGATATGTACCCTGTAATTTTTAAAATGTAATATTTTTAACAAAAGTGGACTCAAAACGAAAACTATTGCAACTTTTGCTTAAATATTGGGGAAAGATACTCTTGTTTCATGTAGCTTGTTACCCTCTTGTTCGATGTAGTTACAGATTAAGTGTGACATTGCGGGCCGTAAATTAAAGTGGTGCTTGTTACCCTCTTGTTCCATGTAGTTACAGGGTAACAATAAAAATGCATACACACAATCTTATATCACTGACTCAGAAACCTTTATTTATTATACAAGCACCACTTACCCTGTAACCACATGAAACAAGATATATTTCCCAGTATTTAAAAAAATTGCAATAGTCTTAGCTTTTCTTGCCTTGAAACATGTTAGCCCAACTTAAACATCTGCACTTTTGCTATCAAAAAATAAATAAATAAAAGTATAAATGCATAGATATGTACCCTGTAATTTAAAAAAAGCCTATACAGTATGTATTGGTACACAATTATTACAAAAAGGTATGCAGTGTTCTCGCTAAATTGCTCCCAAATGTAAGATTGTTGTATCATAATAGTAGAATAAGTACCCCTTAGTTCTATAATACTTACAGTATAAATATTTTTTTATTTCTCCTGGTTGTTACCCCTTTATTCCCCAAACTTTACATATTGTTCCCTTATACTTACATGCAAGTACTTTATAGGTACACTATAATTACAGAAAGTTACTCTGTAAATTCCTCTTTATTACAGAGTACTTTCCGGGCTGTAATCTAAAGCGTTACCCACTTTTCTTCTATAGGCGTCGACAGGTCTTCTGAAATGTTCATGCTGGAAACATTTATGTGGCAGGACAGTGCAAACAAATATTAATATAAAATGTGAATCCTGTTCCATGTGAGTCTTTTCTGAAGCGAATTCTAGAAGTTAATAAATAATCCATTTATATCTTGAGTGATACAAACTTGAATATTTGTCTTTTCTCTACAGTACACACTGAACACTGTTTGATAGGCACTTGTGCCCTCACATGACTTTGGGTTTGTTGACATTTTATAAAAGAAATATAAAGTAACAGTTTACTTTGTCTACGTACATGTTAAAATCAAATAAATAAAAAATCTTAATAAACATAATGAAAGCACAAGAATCACACAAAGACTCTTTTCTGTATTTTGACACATGCATGCATTCACGTATTTATGAGGCACATTAAAGAGAGTCATGAGAATATGCCACTTAATGTTTAAAATAATTTACTACACTAGAATTTCACCACTGAGAGCACAAGCCAAAACCCAGCCAAGGCCATGTGATCCCGAGAGGTCTCAAGACTACAAAATCGACTCCAGCGTTAATGGGGCAAAACGCTACTAGTAATAATAACAACTAATAGTTAAGCAAAGTGGTTGTGTTTGTGTTTGACATATATTTTAGTTCTTTTTAGTTTTATTACAGATCATTTTTGTACGACAAAATGCAGTTAAAGCATGCATTCACCGTTCTGTTTTTCATAAATAATTTATTTTTTATATATATATATATATATACATTTTTGTAATATTACAATTATTTACAAATGATTCACAAACCTTTTTCCATTCACCATATTTCAATGCCATAAATAGTGTAAACGTCCAATTTCCCCATTTGTGTCGGAGATCTAGTTCATCTTCTGGCCTGTAAATCTTCATACTGCAATTGTAAAACACACTGTCAAAACCGTGCGGTACAGCAATTACAATACGGTAGCAAGCAAATATGATTAAAGGTGAAGATTATTCATAGGATTTGAATGTGTAAACCATTCTACATTCATTTTCTGATTTTCTAGAGTTAAGGCCCATTCAGACCAACAATAACAATAAAGTTATCGTTCTAAGTATGAAAGAATGTGCTATAACGGCACAGAGAAAAAAACATTGTTGGATTCACTTTCAGAACTTTTTTTTTTCCAGCTGATGAACGATAAAACCATTGACAGCCAATCAGAATCCACCTTGGGCGTTTGAAGCGGCAGACGACAAACCTGCAGCGTGCTTATTGTGCGTTGGTGTGCACTTATGGCGCTTTTCCATTACCAGTACCTGTCACGGTGTGGGTTTGTCTTGTCATGTTTAGTGGTTCCCTGTCTGTCTATTAGTCTTCCCAGGTGTTTCCCGTTAACCACTTGTATTTAAGCCCTGTGTTTCAGTCCAGTCCTTGTGAGTTCTTGTTGTTGTAACGTCGATGCTGGTTGTTCTGTTCCTGAGTCCTGTTCCCTGTCTGAGTCCTTGTCCAGTTTGGAGTTTGTTTAATAAATTGTGCTGCAAGTGGATCCTGCTTCTTTCTTGTCTCAACCACATCGTAACAGTACCAGCTCGACTCGACTCGGCTCGCTTCGACTCGGCTCGCTTTTCGCTCTGTTTTTCATTGCAGAAAGTACCGCCACAAATAGTACCCGGTCGTCATAGCGACGCCTTTCGTTCCTCGTTGCCCCATCAAGCTCTCGCTGGATCCTCTCTTCGGCAACCAAACAAAGGAATGTCTGCACCTCCTCGTTTGACCACGGCGTATTCTTCCGAGTTGCCATAATAATAATAGTAAGTTTAGTAACTATCTCTGGCCAAACTATTTAAAAATGGCGGGGTTATTCAGGATACTCCATCTGGCGCGTGCAATGATGACGCAGTGAATAGTGACGATTCTCTCTGACCAATCAGCAGTCGGCATTGTTTTCACGCCACATTTTAGTATCGCCTCAGCTCGCTCAGAACCTCGCCGGAGGTGGTACGAAAAAAAGTACCCGAAAGCAGGTACAGGTACAACTTTTACACAGTGGAAAACCAAACAAAGGCGAGTCGAGTCGAGCCGAGCCGAGGCGAGGCGAGCTGGTACTGTGTAGTGGAAAAGCGCCATTATATAGTTATCATTCTTGGTGTGAACGGGCCTTTACTCAAAAATGCTCATGATTACCTCGTATGCTGGTGGAGGCGCCCTTGGGACTGGACTGTTGTTTAGTAGAAGTGCAGCTGTGACTTGGTCGTAGGTTGGTGGAGGTGTAATTGGTACTGGACTGTAGTTTGGTGGAGGTGCATTGGAAAATGGACCCCACATTGGCATAAGTGCAGGTGAGACTTGGCCATCTGCTGTTGGCATCATGTACAGGACTGAAGTACCAGGATGTGCCATTGCAGAAGAGTCCGGCTGGCCCATCAGCACAATATGGTTGACGGGCAAATCTGTATTCATATAACTGACCGTGACAGGTCTTGGCTAAGAGAGAACCAACATCACATTTATTATACATCTATTTAATCTTATTCGGTTTTTCTCAAAATGAATGTTTTAATCTCTTGATGATGTTTACCTTTGGTTTGCAACAACAGGGACAGAAGGTTGCGGCAACAGCAAGAGAGAAGATTGAGATCAGAATATCACATGACATTAGGAGAAAGCAGGACACACCCTGATTGAAAAATAAAGAGACAGTGATTATAAACTAAAATATGAATGAAAAAACCGGTTGTCAAATCTAAACAGTACAAAGGGTGGATTAGTTCACTGCTATGTTACACTGTTGTAGACTGAAACTTAGACTGTTTCATGGATTGTAGACTTGGACAAACAAGAATTGACAGTAAATCATTTTAATTTAGACACACGCACAGATACTGTATGTGACTACTTACCCAAGTGATATAAAAGTGAGAGCGTAGGGAGAAAGCAGCTACTGCAAAATTGATATAGCTGAGTATTTGGGAGTATTTTACCTACAAGACAACAAAAGAAAACATAAAATTCCCCATATGCCAATTTATTAAAAAGTTTAGCTTCTTCTCAAGGCAGTACAGTTGACACTTACCAGACGTGGTTTACATGTGTGTGCAGCCGAGAATGTTAGAGCTCCAATTATAATGAACTGCGGAATAGAAATGGAACAAAATTCAGTATTTGTTCATTGCATAATGTTGTACTGATATTGAAATGATGGACTTACAACAATTGGTGACCAGAGAAGAAAAGGCCTATCATTCCAGATTGTCAAACCAAGTCCTAATAAACCTATCAAGATTTCCAATATCTGTGATAGAAAAACATTAGATATTATACCTTTTAATTCATACTCACTAAACACAGGCGAGGCAAGGACTTTATTTAACTTTACTGTTACTTTATTTAACCGAAATAACAAAGATTAACACAGGAGAAGGTAAAACGCAACAGCTTTACTAACAAACATAAATGCAATACTTGACAGAGAACTGACGGCATTAAATACAAAGGTAAAGGAATACTTAAGATGATGACAAGTATGGAAACAACTATAGCAACAGGAACCAGGGGAACAAAGAAAAACTCAAACACAGGAAAATAAGAACATACGAACAAAAAGTTACAGAAACAAAACAGAATGTAAAAAAAAAAGTGTGTTTTACCCCCAAAGCCATTGGCTTGATCTTCAGGAACTGGGAGACGTCATACTGCTGCTGGTAAACTTCAGTGCTCATCATCACATCAGTGGCTTTTGACATCTTTAAACATACAGAGAGTATCTTTAAACATACAGAGAGTACCTTTACACGTCTTCTCTTTCTAATAAGCCAAAGCCTAGTGCCTAGAAACCAAACGTCACTGATCACGCTTTCATTCCTAAAGTTAGGAATCAAGATTTACCTGAAGAGTTGCTTCCCAACAATGTGAAAGAGTCACTATGGAGCTAAAGAATGCTGAGGCGTACAACATTATTCTTTCAATCACACTGACAGCCTTTACTTAACCAGTTTCACGTGTTAAAAGAGTTCTGGTCTGAATATCAGCACAGCTGTGATTTAGACACAATGTTTTTGCTTTTATACAACAGCTCAACAAGTTGATTGAGGCTATGTTTACACGGAAACGATCTGAAGAAAAAACGCAAAAGTGGCGTTGCGTTATCACTTTTTATTCTGCGTTTAGACGAGCGTTATGGTTGGGAAATCCGCGTGCATATGGTGACGCAAAAGTGTGTGAAATTCGATGTAGTATGCACTCCAGGCAGCTAGGTGGCAATGTGAAGCACTGCCACACAACAACACCATATCTTAGAATATTTTGTACAACTGTTGAAAAGACTCTTGTATGTTTTTCAGAGCTGCTAGGTCATGCGTATGGAAATAATCTGACATGTTGGTTGTTATTTTCCTGTACTGGCGCATGCATGTGACGTAAACGCGTACGCGACGAGAGCCACCGTGAGCAGATTTGCGTTTTTACCGTTTAGACGGGAACGCGACGGTGGAGCGTTTTTAAGATTTCCACTCTGGAGGGTGGTTTCACTTTTTTGCGTTTTTAAGCCCCCAAAACGCCGTTGCCGTGTAAACGAAAGGCACATCCGAAAAAATATTTTTACGTTTTCACCCGGAATCGTTCTCGTGTAAACGGGGCCTAAGTTGAATATAGAGCAACTGCATGTTTAACTTTGGATGCTTCTATGTCCCAGCCAGGGGTTACCAGATTTGAACTTATTTTACATTAAAACTTGAAAACTTCAAAAGTGTGTTTTGAGTGCTTTACAATCCAGAGGGCCAAAAGTGCCCATAGTTAAACCAGGGTCAATGCCACAAGTCTATTTGGTGCTGGCCCACCCAAACAACACTACCAGAATATACACTCACCTAAAGGATTATTAGGAACACCTGTTCAATTTCTCATTAATGCAATTATCTAATCAACCAATCACATGGCAGTTGCTTCAATGCATTTAGGGGTGTGGTCCTGGTCAAGACAATCTCCTGAACTCCAAACTGAATGTCAGAATGGGAAAGAAAGGTGATTAAGCAATTTTGAGTGTGGCATGGTTGTTGGTGCCAGACGGGCCGGTCTGAGTATTTCACAATCTGCTCAGTTACTGGGATTTTAACGCACAACCATTTCTAGGGTTTACAAAGAATGGTGTGAAAAGGGAAAAACATCCAGTATGCGGCAGTCTTGTGCGCGAAAATGCCTTGTTGATGCTAGAGGTCAGAGGAGAATAGGCCGACTGTTTCAAGCTGATAGAAGAGCAACTTTGACTGAAATAACCACTCGTTACAACCGAGGTATGCAGCAAAGCATTTGTGAAGCCACAACACGCACAACCTTGAGGCGGATGGGCTACACCAGCAGAAGACCCCACCGGGTACCACTCATCTCCACTACAAATAGGAAAAAGAGGCTACAATTTGCAAGAGCTCACCAAAATTGGACAGCTGAAGACTGGAAAAATGTTGCCTGGTCTGATGAGTCTCGATTTCTGTTGAGACATTCAGATGGTAGAGTCAGAATTTGCCGTAAACAGAATGAGAACATGGATCCATCATGCCTTGTTACCACTGTGCAGGCTGGTGGTGGTGGTGTAATGGTGTGGGGGAAGTTTTCTTGGCACACTTTAGGCCCCTTAGTGCCAATTGGGCATCGTTTAAATGCCACGGCCTACCTGAGCATTGTTTCTGACCATGTCCATCCCTTTATGGCCACCATGTACCCATCCTCTGATGGCCACTCCCAGCAGGATAATGCACCATGTCACAAAGCTCGAATCATTTCAAATTGGTTTCTTGAACATGACAATGAGTTCACTGTACTAAAATGGCCCCCACAGTCACCAGATCTCAACCCAATAGAGCATCTTTGGGATGTGGTGGAACGGGAGCTTCGTGCCCTGGATGTGCATCCCACAAATCTCCATCAACTGCAAGATGCTATCCTATCAATATGGGCCAACATTTCTAAAGAATGCTTTCAGCACCTTGTTGAATCATTGCCACGTAGAATTAAGGCAGTTATGAAGGCGAAAGGGGGTCAAACACAGTATTAGTATGGTGTTCCAAATAATCCTTTAGGTGAGTGTATTAATGGTCTGGCAAAAGAGCCTAGCATATAGTTTATAAAGTGTACATTATTTCGCACCTGTAACGAATCTGCTTGGCTCTCGAAAGACACGATGACATTCAATGAAGTGTATGGCACCACCGCCGATCAGCGCACATAATTAATTCACATTGTGCGGATTTGACTCTCTTTTTGAGTGATTATTTCTTTCTGCAAAATAAATGGAGGACAGGGAAATTAAACCAAAGACTTCCAGTAACAAGCTACTTTTTCCAATGATTAGCGAGTAGCACAACGATCACAGTTTTAATGTCACATTTGTAGTATTAGTTTACTACCCAGTGTTAAATAACAATTCTCAGCTCTCTCTTCATTCCAGCGTATCGGTTCCTCCTAAATGAACTTTTCTCTGTTTTACAAAGCATGGAAAGTCTGATTCATCATAGTGGGACGGTTCGTCCGAAACCGTCCTCAATTGTAACTTTGGAAAATCTTATTAGTTCTGGTTAATCGGTTCGTTCAGACGTTTTGTTCTTGTAAATTAACAGATTACAAAAAGATTCACTGATTTGAGTCTCTATATGGCATTTAAGGTTTGTTTATAACCAACTATCACACAGTTATATCAACAATGTTGTAGTTATAGTTAGTGTAAATGTATCTGTTCAGTCCCTAAACTTTTTTGCACCAGACTACTTTGCCTATATTTTGCTTCGAAAACAGTTCCAATCAAAGCTGAATCAAATCGAGAACACCGCCTCTAAGCAACACACAATTAGTGGTTTTTCGTTCCTGAATAAATCAGTATTGTTAAAGTAATCGCTTAAGTGAATGATTCAATAAAAGATATAGGCTAAACAGTGTTGTACCTCACATCTCTAGTTCCTCTGCCAACCCAACACAGTCTTTTCAACTATTGAGAATAGTGCTCAAATATCATTCTAAAGCCCCTTAAGCGGTGTGTAAAGGAAACATTTCTGAGCAAAATAATTCATAAAATTGAGAGATTGCATGCTTTACCTAATGTTGGTGCTGCTCTTGTCTTTGATATTCCAATTTTCATTTTCATTTTCATTCAGAAGGCTTATATCTGTGTGAAGACAGACTCCTCCCTCTCTCCCTCCAGGCAGTGAGTTTAAGTGAAACTCATGCAGTGAACATGTCAGAAACTCAAAAATATAGCACAAGACAACAAATATATTTAACACGTTTTTCTGCATGCTTTTTTTCTCACATCAATTGCAATATATCAGTACGCCATCAGTACACCACATCATTTCATCTATAGTCATTATGAAGCATTACAGGATGTTGCAAAAGATCAAAATCTGTAAAAGCAGCATGTTAACAGAATTTATATATGCTGTCTTTGCAGGTCAGGAAGTGAATTAAGCCCAGTCTACTTTTATCTTCTCGCACCCTGAACTTCACACTCTCATCAACACCTGCTGCTATGGTCTGAAGTCTCAAAGCTGCCCGAAGACAGAACTCAGCTGATGAAATTCAATTCAAGCAGTCTTCATTATTAATCATACACTGTAAAAAGAAATTTGTTCAATTTACGATAAAATACCGGCAGCTGTGGTTGCCAGAAATTTACCGTATTAAATATGGTAGCAACATATTAGGTTTTACAGACTTAACTTAAAATTTACAGTAATAAATCGTATTTCATTATCTGATATAATGTTGATTTACCAACCTATTGAAGTATTAATATCTGTTTTATACCATTAATACGCTGACAACCAACAACCACAGTGGTGATGAGAGTCACATGATCAAATAAAGCTCATCACAAGCAGCTCTTTCACTAGAAAGTTAATAGAAGCTGCACAGTTTCATTCACACAAACATTAAACACCATCATGGTAACACATGAAATTTTAAAAATGCAATAAACATTAATTTAACAACATTAAATGTAACATAAAAGCCTAATGTACATAACTGATTAGAAAAAAACTAAGAAAACTATGAAGAAACATAGTTATTTCAACAAAAATACATAAAATGCGAAGTGTCACGCAGGGAATTGTGGGAATGTAAATTTATGGTTTTTCACGGTAAATGATACAATGAGTTGTTCTTTTTCACTTTCAAAAACTGTAAATTTTACAGTAAGATTACATTAAATGTACTATTAGATCTCACAGTTATTTACCGTATATAGTACGAAAACTTTCTGTTAACCAATTAACAGTTTTTCACTGTAGCATTTTTACAGTCTTTTACCGTTAAAATCACAATCATTTTTTACAGTGTGGACAGGATGTGAAATGCTAAATACACTGAGAAAACAAAATGTGCAAAGAATTCAACTTTTAGGGGTAAAACAGCTTGTCACTGGGGCAGTACAAAGGACAACTTTCTAACTTATTTACCCGTAAAAGTCCATAGTAGTACAGTATCTAGTTCAGTCATTAAACTCTAGATGGCGCAGACTGATAGGTCATTTACATGCAATCTGCATTCAATCACATCATTACCGCATGGCGTAAACTGATTGGTGATCCTGCAGCCAATGAGATTGCTTACTTAACATTTAAATGGTCTGATTCAGTGTTGTGCTGTAGGTTAGTCTTTATAGATTTACTCTGAAACTCTCCACCTTCCCCAGATCCACCTGCCAAGATCTGCTATGTAGGGATTGAGAGGGAACAGATGCATAGGACGAGGCTAAATACAGGTTGGGGTCTAAAATGTCTTGAGAACATGAGACTCAAACTTCCAGAATGAGTCAAAAACGCATTCGACCGGATTGCTTTCTTAGTGTAGACGCTCATGTGGTCGAATGTTTTTGAACAGCCACAAAAGACCCTTGCTCTCCTCCTACTGGCCTATACTGCGTAAACATTATGGGAAGCGCTCTAGCCAGACGGGATTTAAACTTTATCGACTGAAGACCCAAGTTTGGTTTGAGGATGAAAAAATGTACCAAGCACAATGTTCTCACCATTCCTGATTTCTAACACACACGGTCTTGCGGTTGTCAGAGCAGAAACGAAATCTGAATCTATCCGTGTGTTTTTCTGTCGTCTCCGGTCGTGTTCATATGTAAATTGCGTGAGCTTATTTAGTCATACCTGAAAAGGCCCATACATTTACCCGCCCATATACCCCTTGAAGAAATCAGGACAGAAGTGGTCGATAGTGGACAAAAGAGATGCAATAAAACACCAGGTGTAAACGGGAATGTTTCTCCCTCGTCTACTTGTGATCCGATTGACCAAAACACATAATACCAGGTGTAAACAGGGCCTTACATCCTCACAGCAGCATGTCTGTGTATCTATTAGCAGTAGCAAGTCCATACAGTACTTGCTCCGCAGCAGAATCGTAGTCCAGTCCGATTAACATTCACACATTTTGACATGTGGAAATTTCGAGAGTCGTCATGATTGAAATATTATTTTTAAAAGGCACCTTTTGGAGGTATATAGGGTGTATTCACACCTGCCTTGTTTGGTTCGATTGAATCGAACTCTAGTTCGTTTCCCCCCTTGGTGCGGACCTTTTGGGCAGGTGTGAATACAGCAATCGAACTCGGGTGCGGACCAAACAACCGAACCGAGACCCAGCTGAAGAGGTGGTCTCGGTACGGTTCCAAACGAACTCTGGTACGGTTCGTTTACGGTGTGAACATGAACCGACCCAATTGCAAGAAAGCACTGCGCCTTTGAGTTAACAGGCTTCCGTAGTCGGAGTTGCGTTATGGGAAAGTGATCTGTTGTAGCCTACTACATTTGATAAAATGAGTCGTGGTTTGACCTGGAGCTTCGAAGAGACGAGCTGCCTTATTAACATTTGGGCAGATGCCCATGTAGCACAGATGCCCATGTAGCACAGAATAACACACAATTAGTAAAAGAACAAATATTGCAGTACGAAATATCTCCATGCTGAGCCTTTTTTGCACTTCCTGATTTCCCTACTTGAGAATCCTTGTCCAATGAATGGACGACCTTAGCACACGTGTGGTTTTGTTTTACAAATTTTGGTTCACTTGGAAAAAGAGCAGTGTGAAAGCGAACCGTACCAAAAAATATATATATATATATATTTGGTCCGGACCAAAGCAAGTGAACTATCGGACTTTCCTGGTGTGAATACACCCTACAAAGTTGTCCTTTTAATAGTACTGCCCCAGTGACAAACTGTTGTACAACTAAAGGTACAATTTTTGCACTTTTTTCCTGACAGTGCATCATGTAAGGTTTCTCACATCTTTATGTAACCATTGCAAAGCCTCATGTTTCCTGCCAGACTCGTGCTGTGCTCTCACAGACAGATGCGGTTACCAGGCAACCGCTCTTGTAGCTGTATCAGTGTGATGCTGTAGTGGGGGGATGCTGCTCTCTGTGATGCTGATCTGCTCTCCCATTGGCTACAACTCCCTGACCAGTGGCCTGATTGGACGAGTGCGTGTCACTCCGCATCTTTGTGTCTCCCTCTCTGTGATATGCTTTGGAGGAGGAGTCTATGCAGCAGAATAGGCAGAATGTTTACCCCTCCCTCATTCTTTTGCACAAACATCAGTATGCCCACGCACAAATCCAGCTGTCATGTGTTTACTTCTGATTTCAGGAAAACCCAACAGGAATGAATTGACCGGAAGGGTCCTCTGGGTGTAGATGCATCCCAACTGAGCCAAGAGATTCTTCTTGTGGTTTTTCTTCAGCATTTTATTGTGGAGTTCATATCCTGTAGAGTGTCATCAGTCTCTTCGCATGGACTTAGCCCTCATTTACCCCATGACGCTTTGCAGCAGACCTCGATGCTGATGGATGAAAAATGGATGGTGTGTTGCTCATTCCTCAAACACACACACACCTTCACAGACACCTTTTGTACACACCAACTCAGCAATGGAACTGAATGAATAAATCAGTATCTGAACGCGACTGCTAGCACAGCGATGTGACAGAAGGTAAGAGTGTTTTTCTATGAACGTCTTGTTTTTCATTTAAATTTGCATGCTTGCTTTGCTGTCTGAATGTTTAAAAGCAAAAGTGAGCCATGTGATCCTCTTAAAACACCCTAAACTACATCTCAGAGGCCGTTTCAAGCTTTTAGACCAGAGGGAGTTGTTTCTGTGTGGCAGATCTGGGATCCCCATCCCCTCCAGCCCCTCCCCTCTGATAATCTTTTGTTTATATTGATGCAAAACAAGATTACATCAACTAATCTCAAATCTAGGCCCATTTCAGCACATCAAAACCATCGTGTAGATCTTGTGGTTTATCTCTGCTCCGCTCATGTGACCTGCTTTGAACATCAGCCTCTGGAACATCTTTCTCTGGCAGACATTAAAACACCGGTGGCATGTTCTAGACCTTCCACTCACGCTTTTTTAACGCTCATCATGAGACTCCTCCTCTTTGCAGGATTGGTAGAGCTGCAGCCCCGCCCTTGGTTCCGTCCCAGAATGCTGAGCCCGGTTCTCTGTTCAGACCTCGCTGCCTTGGAGCCAGAGTACACTGAGGGTACACACACACACCATCATACCCCACAAACTCTCGTGGATCTACAATACCAGTCAAAAGTTTGGACACACTGATGTTTCTTGTAAAGGCTTTGCTGAAATACTTGAAATAGTTTTGTAGACATAGATAAATGTCTTTATATGACGCAGTCAACAAGTAGGAACAACTTCAATACTGCTTCAAAGCATCCCAGGATGCACCTTCTGAAGTTTTTGAGAGAACGAGTATGCATCAGTGTTATTTTAGTATCATTGAGATACTATTATATAGCCTGGGAAAACCCAGACAACTTCCGGCAAATTTAGATTTGCTCTGAAAGTTAGTCTGGCAAAGAGCTCATTCAAGCCCATTTCCAATCCGTCGAAATCGAGGCACCAATCAGAAACGTTGGGGCGGGCTTTACACGATGACGACAGCGCTGGGATTTTGAAGCAGATTTTGTAGCCTACATTACACAGATGGATGCCGCCGTCGAACATCACTCGTTCGAATCAGCTATCGCGTCTGTTTTAAGCAATTTGAACGTTTCCTTTTTGTTAAAAACCGAGCAAAGAACAACACTCGGAGATGTTTCTCCGCCGCTCTGCATACGTCATCTCCTTCATCGCTCTGATTGGGTTTAGGTCTATCCGCGACGTCCGGTGGTGACGCCCCTCTGGAAATGATTTGTCTGACGCTTTGCCAGACCATAACTCAGTTACAACTAAGAATGGTCTGGTTATATATAAGTCTTTATAGATTTTATTCATTTTTATTTCAGTTCGTTTTTTTTATTACATCAAGAATAAAAATTAGAAATGTTTCTTTGGCAACTAGTTGAAATAAAATAATTGTAAGTTTTTTTTAACATTGTATTGTATTTCAGTTAATATTTATTTCAAGTAACACATACATTTTTTATAATAACCCAGGTGTACAGAGCTGGAATCTCGACAAAGAAGCTCAAATATAAGATAATTTTGGTTACTACATAATTTCCATATTTCAATTTGTGTTATGCATAGTAATTCACAGTTTTGATGACTTCCCCATTATTTTAAAATGTGGAAATTAGTCTCAACTAAAATATTGACTGAGCAGATCTGCAGTTTTATTGACAGCACATTACAATAAATAGAGGCCTGTGGATTTTACAAAAACAAAAAAGAAATGTCTGTGTTTCAGCGGATGTCATCTCTACGGTGGAGTTCAACCAGACTGGAGAGTTCCTGGCCACGGGTGATAAGGGTGGGAGGGTTGTCATCTTTCAGAGAGAACCACAGGTGAGAGATATCTCCGACAAACACACTTTTCCATTTTTGACAAACTTCCTATTAAAACTGGAAGTTGGGATGGGAGATTTCATTTCTAAAGTCAATAGGTTTTAGTTTACATCATAGTAACACAGTAAAGGCAGGTGGTATTTATAATGTGGGAGGAGACATTCTTGGCCAACTATTTGGCTCAATTCTGGCAGCGGCAAAGGTCATACGGGCCGTATCTTGCCCACACACATCAAGCCGGTTTTATTGTGAATTGTGGCTTGCTGTGTCTGGCCCAGATCCGGCCCATTTTTACTTTGCCGCTGCCAGAACTGAGCCATATGTGCCACATTTGGCCCAGATGAGGCCCGGATATGTATGCTATTGCCAGCCACACTCAGGTTGAGTATGTGGGCCAGAAGAATGTGGGAGATGTGGGCCACAACTGGGCCAGATGTCATTTGCTCTTTGGGGTATATTAGGAGATTTGAGAGTTTACGTAAGAATGCTTTTATGAATGATTCAAGCCAAAATTCATTCCCCTCATGTTTTAAGAATGAGGCCCAATACATTTTAAATATGCAAATCTTGTTTACTTTTTTTTTTTTGGTTAACTTTTATACAGATGCCCTAAACCACAAAGCTTTGATTTAGATTTCATGGGGACTTTAATAATAATTAAATGACATTGTTATATGGAAATTATCATTATTATAATAAATAATATTTAGAATATTATAATATTTAGCTAGTTTAACCTTTTATTATAACGTTTCCTCAGATATCTGAACACAGGAAGCAGCTAAATTAACAGCAAAACAATTCATTCATAATTCATTTATGCTAAAAACGTCGTGTTATCTTGTCCCGCTACCTCTCTCTTTTAGGGCGAATATAATGTTTATAGTACATTTCAGAGTCATGAGCCTGAGTTTGATTACCTGAAAAGTTTGGAGATTGAAGAGAAAATCAATAAGATTCGCTGGCTGCCTCCACATAATCCCGCCCACTTCCTCCTCTCCACCAATGGTAACCGCTAAAACTCTTGATAACATTACATCATACAATGCCAAAACACAGTGATGAATCATTAAGAATAACATACCTTTTGTGATTCTTGTCAGATAAGACCGTAAAGCTGTGGAAGGTGAGTGAGAGAGACAAGCGAGCAGAAGGCTATAATCTGCGAGATGAGGAAGGCAGACTGAAGGACCTCTCAACAGTCACCACTCTACAGGTGTGTGGTACTTCTCCTTTCTTCTTTTCTGTTTCTTCTCATTGTCTGATGTGAGTTTCTGCTGGTGTAGGTCCCTGTCCTGCGGCCGATGGATCTGCTGGTGGAGGCGACCCCACGCCGTGTTTTTGCTAACGCACATGCATATCACATCAACTCCATCAGTGTTAACAGCGACTGCGAGACGTACCTGTCTGCTGATGACCTGAGAATTAACCTGTGGCATCTCAGCATCACGGACCGCAGCTTTAGTATCCTCATCCTTTTACAGTGAGAGAGAGAGCTGCACAGAGATATGGATAAAACTAGATTTGAAAGGTGCTAAGGTGCTTTGAGTAGCTTTTAGCATGTTGCTGAGCACCAAACAACATGGTGATCAATCTTTTTAGCAGGAGCCAGTTGCATCAGCTGTGCGTGAGTTGCAAATTAAAGGGGTCCTATTATGCCCTTTCACAAAGTCTTGATTTTCTTTTTGGGGTGTACTAGAATATGCTTTCATGCTTGATTGTTAAAAAAAAAAAAACATAATTTTTCACATATTTTACATTATTACAGCTCCTCTCTTCCCAGTCTGGCCCGAATGCATCGTTTAGTTTCTGTTTTGATGAAACCCCTCCTTCTGAAATATGCTGTGATTGGTTAGCTGGCCCAGTGTGTTGTGATTGGCACCGCTTAGCAGAGAAGCGAGTGTTTGGGAAATGTCACGTCCCTTACTATAACCGCGAGTTTCATCTCCTCAGGTGTAAATATAAGGGATGGCGGCAATTTCAAAACTGATTCAGACCCTGACAATGTTAACAGACAAGAGGAGCTACCAGAACGGATTTCTTTGCAAACACAGATTTCACAGGACGTTTCAGGGTGGAATGTTTTTTTAATTGTAATTTTCTCATACATTTTAGATACAATGTTATACACCATTTTAATCATGATACTATGGTAATACAAGCAGTAATCGATCACAAAACCAAGGTTAATTTTCCTAAAGGGAGGTGAACCGTCTTACAAAAGCTACAGTAAACTAAACACTAATGTTGGCTTGCAGGTGAGCGGAGGCAAAGCTTTGCCCTTTGTTTACATTGTTGTTGCAACAAAATAAAACTTATAATTGGAACTGTTAATAGAAAACGTAACTACAAATAATAAGACATACTTACAAGTTGTGATCCACAAACAACAGATTGTCCAGTCAAAGTGGGAACTGCTCCAAGCTTTTGTGCGTTTAGCCTGCATTGTGGTTCTGGAAGCTGTTCTCCGCAAAATGTGTAGCACACAGATAAACGTTGGGATTATAATATTCAGGAACAGTGTTTAAAATAAATTGAAACCACTCTAAGGCCCTGTCCACACGGACACGGGTATTTTTATAACCGTGACTTTTTTTACGCGGTTCGGCCGTTCGTCCACACGAAAACGCACTGAAACCGAACATTTTTGAAAACCCCTGCCAGGGTGAGGATTTTCAGAAACGCCGGTTACAGTGTTGTCGTGTAGACAGTGAAACCGGGGTTTTTGCCTTGCGACGTCAGAGTGTGCGCCGTTATCCGCTGTGTTTGACGTCAGATTTGCGCTTCTGATTGGCCAACGTGGCTTTACGGTTAAGGTTTATATCGCCGCCTGCTGGCGTGGCATGCTCTTGACCGCGCTTGATAGCGGGTTTTTGCGTTTTCATGTAGACGGAGACCGAGCATGTGTGGACGGGATTTTTTTTTTAAACGCTGTAGGAAAAACTCCGGTTATAAAAATACCCGTGTCCGTGTGAACAAGGCCTAAGTTCGTCAGCCTTGGGAATTTCGAACAAATGAGTTTTGGAACAGGGGTGAAACATTTATATTTAGTGTAAATGTATCTGTTCAGTCCCTTAACTAGATATTTGCTGATTACTTTGCCTATAGTTTTGCTTCACTTAAATCAAAAAGATTCCCATCAAATCTGAATCAAAGACTGTATCACAGAATCGACCTTTGCATCTCTAAACAGCACACAGCAGTGGTATTACGTTCCTGAATAAATCAATATTGTTAAACTAATCATTTGAGTGAATGATTCAATTACTCATTTAGAGAGACAGAGTCACTTGACACTGGGCCAAACAGTTTTGTACCTCACATCTCTAGTTCCTATGCCAACCCATTACAGAACAAATGGTGCAAGTGAATAAAGTACAGAGTTAGTTACAAACTAGCTAGTAGTTACGTGTCGTAGCCTCTTTGCGTTCCAGTTTAAGCAAGAACCTGCAAACGGCTGGTGCAACCCTACAGAAATCCAGACGAAAGCATTTTGTTTGGGACTTTTTGTTAATAGTTACTGTTAGAAATGTTGTTGTGAATTAGTGATGATATAAAACCTCAGTTTGTCAGGGTTCCTCAGTGAGTTTCTGTCAGATATTGTAGATTTAAAGCCGGAAAACATGGAGGACCTCAGTGAGGTGATCACAGTGGCAGAGTTTCACCCTCACCACTGCCACCTGCTGGCCTTCAGCAGCAGCACAGGAACCACACGCCTCTGTGACATGAGAGCTCGCGCGCTCTGCGACCAGCATGCCAAATGTAAGCCACGCACATGCCTATAATGCCAAATCATACTGCCTGAATGTACTGATTTTGTTGGTCTTGAAACAACATTCCTGTGAACCATAACCTGTAACTACCCCTGAAATCATCAATTCCTTCAGTCCTAAGCCTAAACCTAAAATCTTAGTGGTTGGCAGTAATGTTGTTCCAAGACTTACAATAGGAGCATATCCACTAATAGTAGCCTATTAAGTTTTTTTTTTTTTTTTTTTTTTATGAAATTAAATTGAACTTAAGATATCCTAAAGCACTTAGACTTTCAGATTTGAAACTCAATTTGCCATAGTCCATATTTAATGTAAGGTCAGATGATGCTTGTTTACATTCAAATGGTTGTTAATGTCATAATGCTTTGTATTAAATGAAGTGTTTTTATATCTGTGTGCTCACTCCATTACAGTGTATGAAGAGGCAGTGGATCCAGCCCGCCGCTCGTTCTTCTCAGAGATTGTTTCCTCTGTGTCAGATGTGAAGTTCAGTCACAGCGGCCGCTACCTGATGACTAGAGATTACCTCACTGCTAAAGTCTGGGACCTCAACATGGAAAATAAACCTGTGGAAACATACCAGGTCTCTCACCTACTCACTCACTCAAACATATCCACAAACTCACACAGTGTTTTAGCTGGAAGGGATCCAAGCCTCTCAGTGCATATGAAGTGGCCTCACTAACACAAAAATAGCATAGAAATATTGTTTATATGATGATAGTACCATACCAGTGGTTTTCAATTCATGTAAAAGGAATATTAAGTGTGATATTATAAAGAGAAAATGTTGTTTGCTACATTAAACTGACTTTTAATAGTTATTGCACTAAAGCCAAAAGAAATTCAAATATCTGAAAAAATTACTTTGTGTTAAATTTACAGTTTATCTGTTGTCTACCCTATATTAAGAGTATATTAGTATTAAGAAAATATATAATTAAGAGTAATTATTCAAATCAATCAACTGTTTTTAGCTGAAACTGAAACTAAAACTATTAAACATTGTTTTCTTTAAATGAAATAAATCTGAAATAATAGAAAATATAAAAATTAGATGAAAAGCTTAAACTTAAAACCCTTCTCAATCAATGAAAAGTCAAAATGTTGCCTTAGCAACTGAGATTGCTGATCAACATTGAAATAGTTGGTCAGTGTTTGCTGCGCACATTCAGAGTACTTCTGAAACCCTCCTCCACCTTCCCCAGCTCCACCTGTATAGATCTGCTACGGGTAATATCATAAATGCTATTTGTGCAGCAACAGGATGTCTTACATCATGCTACTGCTAATAGATACACAGACACGCAGTCTCTGTACTTGCTCTGCAGCAGCAGCGTAGCAGATCTATTCCGACAAGACCGAATACATTAACAGTGTCATATCCATTACCGTGCTAAAGAGTTGTCATGATAGAAATAGATCTAAATAAATCTTCAGGAAAGGGAGAGGGCAGCTCCATCAAACATCTTGATGTAGTTGGACAAAAAGCACCTCAATGGTGAGACCTTTAAAAATCCTTTTAATTCTCTATTGAAGAAAAGCCAAAACCAAAATGATTTTATTTAAGTACAGCTTATGTTTTTAACCTACAGTATAAAGCAAAATTCCAGTTATATATCATGACACTTCACTCCATTTATCATGAGCGCTTAGCTTTTTTTCCTACAGAATTCTCTCTCATTTTTGCTTGTCTTTTTAGGTCCACGACTACTTGCGAACCAAACTGTGCTCTTTGTATGAAAGCGATTGTATTTTTGACAAGTTTGAATGTGCTTGGAATGGAACAGACAGGTGAGGCCCTAACCGTAACCTTTACAACATTCACCTTTGACCTCTGAAATATAGCACGAGTGGATCCACCTGCTGTGCATCTGTTCCCTCTCAATCCCTCTCTTCCTCCGCAGCGTGATAATGACGGGGGCTTACAACAACTACTTCCGAATGTTTGACCGGGCGAGCCGGCGTGACGTGACTCTGGAGGCCAGTCGTGAGATGTGTAAGCGGCGTGCCGTCCTGCAGCCGAGGCGCGTGTGTGTGGGGAAGAAACGGAAAGAGACGGACGTCAGCGTGGACAGTCTGGACTTCAGGAAGAAAATCCTCCACACCGCCTGGCATCCCAAAGAAAACATCATCGCCATCGCCGCCAGCAACAACCTCTACATTTTTCAGGACAGACTGACGGCCAACGGACATCACAACACACCGGAAATACAAAGTGCGCCTCCCAAATGACAGACGCACCCAAATCTGACTATGTAATGTCACACAGTCTTGTGGCACAAAAGACGTGCAAGATCCAGTCCATTCGATTGCCCTTTATTATCACATTTCCCATCTGCATTCAGTGTCACCAGTATCAGAACAATCTCAAAAACTATCACGAACATATATAACCCCAACAATTGAATAATAGAAACTATAACTGTGGTTTTGAATGAAAATGTATCGCTCAGATTCAGTGCTATAGCATGGCATGCAGTATGAACACTCGGGTTAGATAATGTTCAGCTACCCTGAAACATACAGATCGCACATGCATGTTTACAAAGCTGTTTGCTCATCATGAACAGGGCTTATTTAACAATGATGATTGTAAGCGAATCAGAGCCTTTACAATGCTTTACAACGCTCTGCACTGCTTGTATAGAATGTCGTGTCTGTTCTTTCTTCTCAGGCTTGAGTTTTCTTCGGTTTTCTTTGGTTTGACAAAACTGCTCAGGGACTCTCTAAGGCCTCTTCCTATGTTCAATGGCAAAACTCACCAAAACGAAATCCAGAACAAGCAGAGGACAGGATGCAGGAATTATGGAGGTCTGCTGAGAGACATTGCTGGAAGGAAAACAGCATGTGCAGGGATCAGTTTCAATGCTGAGTCATCACCACCACCCCCACCTCAATGTGTAAAGAGCATTCCCAATCCAACGCTTTTGAACACATACTTACAGGCATTTGCTAGCTAGTGCACTGGTTTTGGGTGATTTTATTTCATGTGTTGACGAAACAGCTCAGCCAAAAATGAAAAAGAAATTCTCACCCTCATGTCATTCCAAATCTGTTTGATTTTCTTCCTGAAGAGAAATTCAGCGGGATGTTCATGCTGCTCTTTTACACACAATATGAAAAAACCAATCCGATCTCACGGCAGTTCGTATGAATTTTACGAGGTGGCTAATTCGTACGGATTCATACGACCTCACTCGTACGATTTTTTGCTAAATCGTACATAATTTACGAGGTGCCCAATTCGTATGAATTTGAACGAATGAACCACCCCTGACCCCGCCCCTAAACCTACCCATCACTGGGGTTTAAACGTACGAATTGATCGTGAGATAGCGTTGGAAAAAACACAGTAGTTCTTCAGTATCTTGCAAGGTCATTGCGATTCTGCGTTTTCAAAATTGCCACAGTTAAAGGGTTAGTTCACCCAAAAATGAAAATTCTGTCAGTAATTACTCACCCTCATGTTGTTCCAACCCCGTAAGACGTTCGTTCATCTTCGGAACACAAATTAAGATATTTTTGATTAAATCTGAGAGCTGGATCACTCCTCCATAGGCTTCTTAAGGGATTGAAACTGGCCGGCCCAAAAGTTAAGACAGACATCGTTAAAATAGTCCGAGTGACTACAGTGGCTCAACCTTAAGTTTATCAAGCGACGAGAATACTTTTTGTGCGCAAAAACAAACAAAAATAACGACTTTATTCAACTAATCATTTCCTTCTCTGTACGGCCGTGATATTTCACGTAGTGATATTGCGCAAAAGCTTCTAGGTTGCACGTCACACGTAGGCTCACTATTGGCCGACGCTGGTCATGTGTGTGATGCGTGACGTACAACCTAGAAGGTTTGCGTAGTTTCACTACGTGAAATATCACGGCCCACAGAGAAGGAAATGAATAGTTGACTAAAGTCGTTATTTTTGTTTGTTTTTTGCGCACAAAAAGTATTCTCGTCGCTTGATAAACTTAAGATTGAGCCACTGTAGTCACTCAGACTATTTTAACGATGTCTTTAATAACTTTTGGGCCGGTCAGTTTCGATCCCTTAAGAAGCCTATGGAGGAGTGATCCAGCTCTCAGATTTAATCAAAAATATCTTAATTTGTGTTCCGAAGATGAACGAAAGTCTTAGAACGAAAGGTTGGAACAACATGAGGGTGAGTAATTACTGACAGAATTTTCATTTTTGGGTGAACTAACCCTTTAAGAGACATGCAAGGACCAATGTAGTTTGCCGCTGTTGACGTCAAACATAGCAAGCTTGAATATGCGTACAAGTTTTTTAACGGTGCAGTGGAGGGGACCATTTTCAGCGAACTTAAGCCCTATTCGGACGGGATTAGTTTAACATGGAATAAAGTAATTATCACAAGAGCTTCTCAGTGATTTCAGTCCCGTCCGAATGTACATCTCAGTAATCATTACGGACAATGTCAGTAAAGATTAGGCCGACTTTTACCTTCTGTAAAAAGGTCTGGGAAAATGACCTCAGGTAATACTAATCCCGTGAGAATAGACCCGCTGTAAATACGGACGTAAATATTCCGTCATTTCCTGTTTAAAAGAGAGTTTTCCGCGTTTTTTCAAGTATGGAGGCGCTTGAAAATCCATTCAGTTGCGTTCTAGGCGGTGGGATTATATGTGTTTGCGCACATGATGACAGGACGGTGACGGCGGTGTGTAAATCGAGTTACCCCTCCCACTTCTGCTATCTCTTATCCCGTGTAAATTATATTACTCCATCTACCCTTGTAAACCTAATCCCATCCGAATAGGGCTATAAACAACTTAAAGGGGTAAATAACCACTGACAAAAAGTCTGTTCTTATTGAATAGGCTTGACCAGAGTCAAATACTGCTTTGCTTGAGTAGGAAATACTTCTTAGCAAACTTGTCGACTTGTATTGTTCCTGGGTGCAAGAATTCAAAGAGTAAATGTTTATCGGGAGCGAGTTATTTTCTGTTTCCAATGAAGGATCCAAAGCGTTGTAGTCGATTTGACTTGTCTTTGGGCTGGGATACAAAAATGCAGAAGTACAAAGCCCTGAAGCTGTCAGTCAGACTTTTGCTGACAAATAAACGTGAATTTCTCTGTCCAGGTAACACAGAGAAACAGTAAGCATTGTTCATTTACATATTCTACGACATTGTAACAATACAAATCTGCATCGGTTGTTGATTGAATGGAGGCAGATCTGAATACGAGTTTATGGTCGATTGTTAGAAAGGGGTGGGGTTTGAGAGACTAAATGATTGGGAAAATCCTGAGTTTGTCATCAGATAGAAGTCTGTCGTTTCACAGGAAGATGGCATTATTTAGGAATTGTGGAAAATTAAACATGCGCATTGATGAATGCATTTGCCTGTGTTACGTGACGTCACAAGTCCTCCAAATATCAAAAAGTGCCGTTTTTGGTGCTTGACTAAATAAATGCTTTGTTTATAATGAGGACGTTTTAAGCTCTGAAATATGCCAGATGTTTTAATGGTACGCTGACCTCTTATATGTCAAAAGATCAAGGCAAATTTTATTTCTCATGTCATGACCCCTTTAAATTTTGGTCTGTTCCTTACACTACACTAAAACAAATGCTAACATAAGTTTTTTTTTTTTTTTTTTTTTCAACGAAGCCTTTCTGGAGCTCGGTATCCCCAGGTGAACATTCTTCAAAACTGGTTTGGAAAGACACGAGAGCAAGTAAAGAAAAACAGAAAATTTGAGTGAAGGAATCCTTTAATACCAATACTTCAGAGCTAATTCGCAGCTTTAAGATAAGATCCCAATTCCCCTGTATACAAACTATATGCAGCATGATGCCTGGTTGGTACCTTTTGATCTGCATTATTTCACGGCATTCTCATCCCAAAGCGTCATATACTGACGCTTTTGCCAAAGCGTCTACTTCCGACGCACATGGCACCCTTTAGCGTCATGGTTATGGGTAGGTTTAGGTCTGGGGTAGTGTTAGGGTTAGACCACTAGGAGGCGCCATATATCTGCGTCTCATATTGACGCTAAAGGATGCCATGTGCGTTGGATATAGACGCTTTGGCGCCTTGGGATGAGACCAATGTCCACAAGAGGACGTTCACAGTGATCGTGTCATTTATATTCGGAAATGGGTTCAAATACAAAGGAAACCTGAACTGAACCTCCACTATTTCTGTTGTCCTGGCATATCTTTATTCACGAAAGTGCGATAAACTCACAGCAATGTTGTCGTGTCGCTTAACTCAGACTTTTATTTCATTTAAAATAATTCATACAAATGCATACAGTCACAAACATTTCTTTTTGGACTCTGTTTAACAAAAAATATTAATATCTCATAGTATATATAGTATGTATATTGCTAGCCTACCACTTTACCAGGAAGGAAACTATGTAGGCGATGGAGAGCTGCAACTATCCCGGCATCCTCAAAAAAGAAAACACACACGGTACAATCAAGTCACACACAAACAGGCAAGCATTACCGCCAGCTTTGCACAAGACAATTTTTTTTTTTTACTTTTTTACTTTTTGTTCAAATTCTGAACATTTTTCTGTTTTCTTTTTTAACCTTTAACACATAAGGTAATACATGCTCCAAAAATAAAAACATACTGAGTGTAATTCTTTAATGTACTGTACTTAATTTTGACTACAAAAAGACAAATGGGTACAAAAACAATGCACTATGTGGTTTAATTTAAAAGGAAGGAAGGTAGGAAGGAAGGGGGGAAATAAATTTTCCTGAGAGGGTGTGCAAATCCCGCCTCTTTCGGGGCTTTTAAAATCAAACGAGTGAAACTAATATGCTTTTTATCGCATCTATTATCAGGTGGTGAGATGCCTCCAGTAAAGCGGTTTCAGTTTTTTTTCAATTTTTTTTTATCGTCTACAAACCATTAATCATCTCCTAAAAACTGTACACAAACAGGTTACATTCATGTAATAGCTACTGTTGTTTTAACAATGAAACCCATTAGACAAAAAAAAAAAAGAACAGATAAAAGATCGCCCACTGCACTTGGACAGACTACAATCTAAAACAGCAGGATTTTGCATCAGGGATAAGTTAACTTTGTTTGAAATCCACACGGTTTTCTCTTTTGTTGTTGTTGTTTTTTCCCCCCACTAGTACTTCAAAGAGCGCAGTCCACCAGCTTCAGTCAAAGAGTTGGCTGCTTCGGAGTCGTGGTTGTTTTTAGTGGCTGGTTCTGAGCCCGGGAGCCTGTTTCCGCTGCTCTTCTTTGGGGTAAAGAAGGACCAGGAGAGTTCTATAGTGGTACGGAGAGCCTTTGAAGAGGGGAAGAGGGGGGGGGGGGGGGGGGGGGGCTACAACTGTTCGTTGGGGTGCTGCTCTCTATCGGGTTCGGGTTTGCCGGTTTGGCCGGGTGAGGGGGCGTGCGGAGGGTGAGCTACGGTGGGCAGGCTGTGGGTTATGGGCACGGCACTCGGCATAATGCCCTCCACTGGTGGTGGTAGACCCCCTGATGCGAGGCTCACTATGCCCGGGGGGTACCTGCGGAAGGGGAATAATGTTAAAACCTATTAAACACCTGCAATAGAGCAACTGTCCCTGCAGTGAAGCCCTCCATGTCTCTATGAAACTACTATGTGTGCATAATGGTTGATTAAAAAAAATTGATAGTTTCATCCAGCTCTACAATCTGATTGAATGGGCCAAATTTAAATGTCCATACATCATATACTACACTCCCATTAAAGTCAGTGAGATCTAGTTTTATTTAGCAGGGATGCATTAACCTGATCAAAAGTCACAGTAAAGACAGTAAAAATGTTACAAAAGATTTCTCTTAAAAAAAAAATGGAATTCATCAAAGAATCCTGGAAATATTCAGCTTTACCGTCACAGTAATAAATGACGTTTGAAAATATATTAAAAAATAGAAAACAGTTATTTTAAATTGTAATAAAATTTCACAATATTAATGTTTTTACTGAATTTACAAAAATATACAGACTTTTGCATGCACACGAGAAACTTTTCATATGAGCATGGTCATAATTTCCGGTTTATGTATACTAACCTATTTCCTTTGTGCGTCACTGCCATCTTACTCTGAAGTAAACGAGAGAATGGATGTGCATGAATTAATAAAGATCAGTGTGCTCAATATTTGGCTTTTGTTAGGGCAGTATCTATAATATCAAGGCCTTATGTCTGCTTTGGCGGCCGAAAAACTGGCTGATGGCACAATATGCGGCTCAGTGTGCATCGTATATGTTAAGTTTAATGGTTCACAAAACAAGATTGATACAGTAAAAAAAGGCTCAAAATTTTGATTTCATTAGGGCGATACATTTATATCGTCCCATAAAAACTTTAACGGCCAATTAAAAAATGATTGAGCAATAGTTTCCCATGCACACGCGAAAGTCTGTATATTTTTTATTTTTGCAAAGGTCCCTTTAGGGGCTCTGTACATGGCTATATTACAATAAGATTGGATTCATATTTTTAATAATGTATTTTTTTTAAATTGGAAATTTGTCATAATTTTGCTGTTCTATAAAAGCATTAAGCAGCTCGAAGCCGTGTGTTATAGTGATTTTATAATGGCACGGCAAAACTAAAACTGTGTTTTTCAAGGATCGTTTTTCTTAAAAGCCACGTAAAAGTAATGAAAATTTCACTAGTGAATATATATTCTAGTTATACTGTAGTAATCAGGGCTTGACATTAACTTTTTTGCTCACCAGTCACTGTGACTAGTGGTTTTACAAAAGTTACCAGCTATTCAGCATTTTCACTGGCCACAATTTTGACATCAATACCATGTGGAAAAACTCCCATATAGATGTTTTTATTAGTATCTTATAATTTGGCAGCAGGTTTATTAGGCTGCCGTCACTTTAAGACCTGACGTACTGATCCATTATACTGTTACACATGCGTTTTCTTTCTCAACTGTTTACGTTCACTTAAAACAACTGACTGTGTTTCCTTGAATACTCGCCAAGACCGGCATTTTGACATTATTTTGTGTGTACTTGACTGTTAAGCGCAATAAGCAGCGAAAAAGAACTCAATTTAGTACCGAGAGGCGGCTTTATGTGCGGGCACTTTGGGTCTAAGAACACAATATGCGGGAATGAGTACAATGCACCAACAATATTCATCCGGAGCAAATGAAATGAGTGAATGATGGGAGGCGGGTTTGTGTGTAACTCACTGTTGGAGAGATGAGAGAGAGAGAAAGCTCAGCTGATAGGGTGTATCTATTCTGCGGAAAATGAGTATTGGAAGTGTTATTCATATTCATATTTCAGCATCGATATGTATCGAAAAATAGATATTTTTGACAACACTTGTTTTATTATTTCAGATGCCTTTTTGAAAGGCTACAATTGAAAAATGTACATATTATATATAAAATTCAACCTGTCAAAGTGACTAGTAGGAGTGACTGCGTTACACGCCACCGCTGAAATCGACCCGCATTTGGCGGGTTGACGGGTGTTAATGTCAAGCCCTGCTAGTAATGTTTGATTCACGAGCAAATCATTCGTTTGAATCGGTTCTTTTCAATGAATAAGTCATACAGATTCACATATTGGTCTGAATGATTCATTGGCTAATCAGTCTTAATCAAAATGATTTCAACAATCCTTATCAAGTACTCACAAATGACTGGAAAGGTCACAGAAATTCACCGCTAAAAAACTGTGGGAACCCTTTACGTACCCTATCCGTCGGTTTCAAAATGTAATAACTTTGCCAGTAGATATTAAACAATTCCTGTTTTTTAATGTCTTGATCGTTATCATACCGAGGTTGTTGTTTTTTTCTGTAAAATATGTGCATTTTATATAAGCAATTCTGTGTCTCATCTCATTTGCTGCCATTAAATAGTTTTATGTATACATCATAATTAATACTGGCTCTCTAGATCCTAATGGAAAATGAACAAACTTCAGTCAACCACTAATTATTTTCCCCACACACTTAACTTAGGCGTTTCAGAGACAGCAACAAGTTATGACATCTTGATGAAAGATTGTGAAGACTTTTCTAATAACATGCACTTATGTGCAATAAGACCAGGAACACGTATTAAGAAGTCCAAAATGGTCTATTCTGACATCATGTTGATTTTAACCACAGTAAACATGCATTTACAATGCATTATTGTTTCACAGCACCATCTATATGCTACATTCAGTTAAGAGGAATGAGTTTCTCAATGGTTTGTTGTACCTATAGGTGCCATTGAGTTCTGGATGAACAACAGCCGGGTCCATGCCGGCCCAGTGCGTGGTCTGTGTGAGGAACTCTTTGTTCACGCAGTTCTTCAGGCTGTCTGGAATGCGACCTGGAGGAGGAAAACAGCTTTGTTACAGGGAAACCCAGAGTCATTGATCACAGTACATCAAGCCTGCAGAGCTGCAATTAAAGAACGGTTTTCACTGGACTGAAGAAAGAGATCAGACACCCGGGGCTCTCAAATCATTTGACAAATGTCTGAGGCATTTAAAAGCCTTGTATAACAACTTGGTCACAGCCAGGTGCAACTACACTTAAGCCTGTGTACTCCAAGGGCGTAGGTTTAGGGGGGGACGCTAGGTACTAGTCCCAATCAATATTTTGAGATGACAAATTTGTCCCCACCAATATTTAGCAAGCTCCTTTGAACTGCTATTTTGATATTTGCGCTGCTATTTGGATCGATTCCAACGGCCAGGACGACGACAGTACAAGATACGCCGTAATTTGATTGGCGGCGGGGTATCTGACAGGCAGGCTACACGCGCGGGCCGGGACTACTTTTTGTGCTTGCACTCACTGGCAGCGAGCGGGTGGTGTGTGCGTGTGTGTGTTTGTGTGTGTGTGCGCGCGTGACGACGCCCGACGGTAAGTTACCAGGGCTGTCTGTCTCTCTGCATGCCATATACAAAGGCCAGGGTAAAACATTTTAATATTCCGTTTTTTGCCCCTTTTTGTACTTTGTAGATCAGCTATGTCACCCAAGAAGAAGAAAGGGGACATACGAAGCTTTTCATAAAGCAGTGTAAGTAGGCAAAAATAACTAGCCACACAAATAACTAGCAGTAGTAGTGACTGACCAGGCTTTCAAATGCAGATTCTACTGTGGAAAATAGTATTAACTGGTGATCCTGGTTACCCAGGATATTGTTACAGTTAAACCTAGCTTCTGCAATCTTTCAAGGTTAGGAGCATTAATTAGGGGTGTGCAGCAGGGATAGACTCATAGAAGTCGCGCTATCATGATAGACGTTAGCAAGTCACTGAATGTTAATTAGCCTACCTTAACTTAGAATCTTGCAGTCATAAACAGTGGATCATCTCAGACATTTTTCGTTTCTACATTCTGTTTATGTAATGTATTTGTGAGTGTAGCCTACTTGCTAGACACATGTCTGGAAAAATATGTTGGCAATATTAAAAAGGCAATAGTAAACACTGTTGGTTATTCAAATATAATGAATCATTATTTGTTTGATAATATCCAAATAACAATATCTGGTAGGAGGGTTAAACTTGTTTTTTTTTAAGGATAGAATATATCAATAGAATTTGATATAGAATAGAAGATACATAATAATTTATGTTAAATAAAATGTTTGGTTGTCTCAGGTTTTTATTTTTTGAGAGTGCATTTTTGAGATTATACAGTTATACTAGCTCTTTATTGACAGTATACAGGATGGTGTATCGGGGGTCAGGATACAATATAATGAGATGAGATGAGATGAGATGAGATGGGGGGGGGGGGGGGGGGGGGGGGGGGAGGGTGTCAGATGGGATGTCCCCACCAAAGCTGAGACCAAACCTACGCCCATGGTGTACTCCCTTCATAAACAAATTATGAAAGTGCAAGACATTGCACCATCTTGAAAAGGTGACATTTTTTAAATTGTTATAATGTTATATTTTACACTGATGCATGCTTGATGTACAAAATGATCCATTGTCTTGCTCCCCCTCCTCTTAAGGGATGCCTGGCCCATAACCGTAGACAGTAAAAGAAATGGACACAGCGACCCCATAGACTTCAACGGAGAAAAGTGAAGTCAATTAGAAGCACTCACTTCCTGATTGCCAAGCGAACTGCGCAGGCTCAAACTGAGCTTTACGACGTAGATGTGACGTGAGCAACATGTACGTCTTCTAGTAGCTGTGCCAAGAGGAATCTGAATCATTCCCTTCCGAATCTTGCAGAGCCGGAGTTCGTGAGTATTAGCTGTCCATGAGCAGCAGGAGCAACTTTATGACACTCTATGGGCTTCTCCCTTGACTTTATGCCTCCACGTCCCCCTGATTGCCCGCGAGCTTCTACTTCTGTCTACACGGTAATTTCTCTACTGTGCGACAGAGAGTCGCGTGTTATCGTTAGCCTATTTTTACAAAAACGGCTTCTACGAGGCCATAACGTAAGATACAAGGTAATGGAGCCTTTTATACATTGTCGTGTTTCTTTAGAAATAAACAATGGACAAATGGAGTCTTTAAACGCCTCAGATGTAAAGTTATTCGCTGTCAAAGTGACGCAAAAATGAATGGGAGTCAATGGGATGCTAACAGCAGGTGAAGGCTTGTTGGCCAATGGCGGCCCCCGGGGAGACTTCAGTTTCCGGCTGGTGGATTACCCCCTTGCCCATAACGGAAGTGCAGGTAGGACTAGAGCATCTGCTAGGGGACATTTGGTACCGCAGTATAGAAAAACAGCCTTTGGTCTAAAAGCTTTTTCGGTTAGAGTAGTGGGGATATGGAATTCCTTACCCAATTTTTAAAACCAAGCTTAAGCACTGGCTTCTATCACTGATGACTGTAGTGTGTTGTAAATTATTTGTTTTCATATACTGATTTTGTAAATCTTACATTCCTGTAATTCTTACATTTTGTAAATCTTACAATATGTATTGTTGTATGTTATTTTATTTGTTTACCTGCCCAGGGACAGCAGATGTAAATTAGCTGTTAGCTAACTCTGGTGCAATTACTCTTAACTGTGCATTGTCCCTGTAAAATTAAACAAAATTAAACAATAAAGTAAAATAAAAAGTGGTATTGATAGCGCACCGGTAATAGCTCGCCGGATCTCCCGCGCCGCCTCCTCCCGCATCTCGATGGAGGCCTGCTCGCTGTACCAGGCCGCGTGAGGGGTGCAGATCAGGTTGGGGGCGTCTTTAAGAGGACCTTGGCTGAAACTGTCACACACACATGTAGCTGTATAAGAGTCTGAGTGAAAATGACTTCAGTATAATAAGGACTTTTCACAATGAGACCAAGGAATTTTCCAGCTAAAAAGAGCAAAATTTAGCCAATGAAATATTTCAGAGCTGAGAACTAAACTTAATTTTCATGCCTTCATAGATTTTATATTACAATGACTTTTCTAGAGCTGGAAATCCTGGAAACAGCCTGAGGTTTGATTATTATCATTCCCTGAAACACTTTTGTTAATTGACATAGAGCTAAAATATTTACACACACACACACACACACACACACACACACACACACACACACACACACACACACACATATAAAAGCACCAAAATTACTAACTGGAAGTGTTATAACTAAATGCTATTGTCATAACTAAAACTAAAACTGAAATAAAAATAAATTAAACCTAAATAGTAATATTAAAAAAATCCTAAAAACGTTATAAAAATAACAAAAAGCACATAACAAAACTACTAAAAAGTCAAAAAACGGAAAATATAAAAGTAAAAGATAAAATAAAATATTAATAATAACTATAATTATATATATATATATTAGGGGTGGAACGGTACACAGAAGTCACGGTTCGGTTCATACCTCGGTTCAGACATCACGGTTCGGTACGATTTCGGTACAATGGAGGGAAAAGCAAAACAAAAATGCAGAAGGCATTGTATTTTTTAAATAAGTTTTATTAATAAAGGCATAGAACCAATTTATTTGTAGTGCACTGACAATTGTTTTATATAATTATTTTATTAATTAAATTAATAAAAAGACCTTGCGATATGTTTGGTAATTGTACCTGAATTAATTTAAAATTATTTTGCTATATTTCAGATCAATATATTTGTTTTCCTTAATTTTAATTAACATTATTAATTGACAATGTAACATTATTCTCATCTGAATTATAAATAATTGATTTCTGTATAAAATAATACTACCATTACACATTCAATTTTCTTTTTTTAATCAATGTAGAATGTTTAAGATTAGCGCTCCGAGGACAAGAAATGAAAACCAATGCAATATGACGAATGTCCAAAAGATGGGACCAACAGACTGTTTTGAAATGGATTTGGATAAATATGTTTTGCTTTTAAAACAGTGTGTGTGTGTGTGTGTGTGTGTGTGTGTGTGTGTGTGTGTGTGTGTGTGTGTGTGTGTGTGTGTGTGTGTGTGTGTGTGTGTGTGTGTGTGTGTGTGTGTGTGTGTGTGTGTGTGTGTGTGTGTGTGATTTTGGTTGGGTGACAGTTGTAGGTTACAGTTTGACAAGAGTTTACAGTGTGACAAAAGCACAATGTTGTGTTTTATTGCGAGTGTACACAAATATAAGTAAACACTTTGCAGGTTTAATGATCTGTATGAACAAAATGACGGAGTATGTTTTTTATGTTTCCACTGTTCGATCGCGCGCCTCTCTCTCTCTCACACACACACACACACACACAGGTCGATCGCGCCCGCGCGCCTCTCTCTCTTGCTCTCTCTCTCACACACACACACACACACACACTCCAGCATTGCAATCTTGACATCGCAGCCTGTCCATTATGCGGTCACGGTCACACCAAACGCGAATAGAGCGTCAAATTCGCGTCTAGTTCGACGCTAGTCCAAAGCGAATAGGACGCGCGTATAAAGCCAACGTTTGAAATGAACGCCGGTTCAGAGCTAAGCCGATGGTACAGATTATGTGTCCCTAAAGAACCCGCGTATCTAACAGTAGTTCCGCATTACAGTTTTATTTATTTTTATACCGTGTATTCTCCGTGTAAATTCGTGCACCGAACCGTGACGCCCGTACCGTTTCGGTTCGATACGAATACATGTACCGTTCCACCCCTAATATATATATATATATATATATATATAAAATACTAAAATAACACTAGAATTCACAATTGGTATGAAAGCAATTTAACCTCAGTTTCCAAATCTGGTTGTCTATGATGAATTGTTTTTGCTCCTCTTTTGTAAGTGGCTTCGGATACAAGTGTTTCCTAAATGTAAATGTAAGTGTAGTGTACATTTAAAAGTGAATCCCTATTGATGACGTATAAATTCCAGCATTTCTCATAGCTAATTCTCTCCTTATAAACTGCCTTCAGGAAGCAGCTCGCATTCTTTACATCCCTTGAATGCCTTTGTAGCAAACAGATGCGTGTTATATATCAGAGCCAAATAATACAATGCGCAAAAAAAAAAAGCCCTGCAGAGTCCGGGGGTGGAATAGGAATGGGGTTTGGAGCAAGCAATCGAACCGAATGTCAAAACAACACAGTACTTCATCATCAAATGTTGTTGTTCACCTGAAGGGCTCTGTCTCGTGGACGTCCAGCGCTGCTCCCCGTATTCTGCCCTCTTTCAGAGCCTGGGCCAACGCTTTCTCATCCACCAGACCACCACGCGCAGTGTTCACTAGGAAGGCGCCTTGACGCATCTACAATCAACACAAAACGGTGATGGTACACAAACGTGACAGCAGTGCGTGTGTGCTCTGGTGTTTGTGAGTAGCACCTGTTTGATGGTGAAGTCGTTGATGAGATGGTGGTTGTGCTCATTGAGACTGCAGTGTAAGGTGACGCAGTCGCTGTGGAAGAGCAGGTCCTGTAGGGTGTTGACTCTCTGCAGCCCCAGGGCTCGCTCCATCCCGTCAGACAGGTACGGGTCGTAGAACATCACGTTGAAACCGAATGCTTTGGCTCTCAGCGCCACCGCCTGTCCGACACGACCTGAGAGCAAACATATCAACTTCAGCCGTGAATGAAGAGCCATGTAATAATTATACCTGATAAAACAGGCTCTATTAAAATGGTGTGTTTGCTTCCTTACAGTATGCTCAAAGAAAGTGTTTAAAAGGTACCAGGCTGATATTATGAGTAATGTTTTCAATGCCATCTTAATTTACAGCAAAAGTGTGTTTAATTCATTTCGTTACTGGAGTTATATTATTGCTCAATTATTTCCAGCTTCTTTTAAAAGATCAAATAAAATACATAAATAAATGGCACAGCAATACAGTGAAGTAATATACAGTAAAATATTATATATGTGAATTTTCAGCGTCATCACTCCAGTCTTCAGTGTCACATGATCCTTCAGAAATCAGTCTAATATGATGATTTGCTGCTCAAGAAACATTTCTCATTATTATCAATGTTGAAAACAGCTGCTTCATATTTTTGTGGAAACTGTGATAAAAAATATTCAGGATTCTTTGATGAATAAAAAGTTCAAAAGAACAGCATTTATTTGAAATAGAAATCTTTTGTAACATTATAAATACTGTCATCTTTAATCAATTTAATAGGTAAATAAAAGTATTATTTGAAAAAAACTGATCCTAAACTTTTGAACAGTAGCACGTGTGTGTGTGTGTGTAGGTTTGTTAAGTAGTTTGCCAGGTCTTCTAAGTCAGGGGTCTCACACTCAACTTAACTGGGGGCCACTGGAGCTGGAGGTAGAGTCGGGGTCAGGCTGGGCCGCATCAAGTATTCCACAAAAAATAGTATTCAAGTATTCCAAAAAAATCTTCTCAATCTTTATTATTAACGTTTCTTCTGAACTGTTCCTCTGAATTTAAACATTCCTTTCTGTACATGATTGGTTCTTCATGAGCTGTCCTTCTGACAGTTGAAGTTCATTTTACAAACTTTCTTTGTCTTTTCCTTATACACAACATCTTTGTGATTCTTATATTTGCTCATGTCCTTTTTATTTTCAATATGATATTGAATGTTTTTTTGGAAGGCACGTTTCCTTTTATTATACTTAGAAAAACAATTATTGCTTTTGAAATACAAATATTTGCAGTCATGTCTGCCCGTCTTATTGAGTTCTTTCTACACATGTATAGTGTCTCAGGCAAATTACTGACCTTGCACAAATCAAAGCAAACCTTCTTATCAACCTGCTGGACACATATTACAAGCTCAAAATTATTACTCTCACATTGTTTTAGAACAGCGGTCTCCAACACGTCGCTCGTGAGCTACCAGTAGCTCGTGAGCTACCAGTAGCTCGTGGCCTGATTGGTGGTTGCTCGCCAAGGGGCCGTTCACATATCGCGCTCACATATTTTGCGCGCTCAAGTTCGTTATTTCAAATGTAGGCGCGCGGCAAGCGCGCTCATAATTGAAGCGGCGCGCTCATTTTTTCCAGGCGCAGTACGTATGTTTGTACTTCGCGGTTGTCTATGACAAGGGAAGTTTCCGTCAAACAAAGTAGTTGTATTAAATAAAGTTCCAAACATAGGTTCGGGAGGAGCCTAAACATTCAGTCCTGTGACTCCTGTCAATCATCATTAATTTACGAGTGTATATAAGCATCAGTCACTGCATCATCCCAGCGACAATTCTTCCGGCATCCCTCCTCCTCCCCATGTCCTCCTCTATTTCTCTTATTCTTCCTCAGAGCAGTACTGATATAGGGGGTCTAGCCTCGGGTTCGAGCCTCCTTTAAGGACAGCAAGCCAAATATTAAGACCGAATGGGCAGGTGAACTCATGAAACAGCTATAAAAAAGCCACTGTTGAGCAGCAAACAGGTATTTGAAGCCGCCGGCGTGTCTGGAGTGTCAAAAAAGCTCACTGAGATGATACAGACGGAAAAATAAATTATAAAGTTATCGCGCTTTATTTAGCAAAATATCTCTGGTCACACTCACTCACCATTATATGTTTGGTCTAAACGCAACTGCTCTCATGTTTTGCCACAGGACAGCAAGTGGAGTACATTTTCTGTCATCTTTGCAGGACTGTGATGTGTAGAGTGTGCAAAGTAACATATTTCAGCAACGGTGTGAAAGTGAATAGCACATAACAGGCACAATACCGGTATAAACATGAATATCTATTGGTACAATATGCGTCACACGACTAAACTCACGTCATCGGTTTTAAAAGCCTCCGTTTTGACAGTCCACACTACAACTAGAAAACGGCGTTTTCAAATTTATCCACTTTGGAGAGCGTTTTCAAAAAGCTTTGTTTAAGGCGAGACACTACAGGTGAATAGGGTAACATTTTTAACTAGCATATATCACCATGACACTTTCCCAGTTGATTACCTACATTAAGATGAGAAAAAATGTATTGCAAGTTTTCTGTAATTTAATGTTGAAATATGCAAATTATGCATTATCTAATTAAATATGGACTAATTTGCATATATGTAAAAAAAAAAAATTGGATATTGGATAAAGTCAGGTTCAAAATTATTTTTTCATTGTGTTCACATATTAGATGGGAAACAAATTACAGAGGGATTTATCACCTACTTTTGTTATCCTGTAAATCAGAATATACTGTCAATAGCCTTAAAAAAATATTTTCGCCATGTTTTTTGGAATAAAATGTTATATAAATCAGGCTAGGAATAATATATTAACAAATCCCTCAGTAAATGTCTTCATAATATAACTAGGTACAAGACTGGAAAGTTTGGTGTATATAGGTGCTACCGAAGTGGAGATTTCGGACTTGAAGTATGAGAGAAAAGTCATTTTGAGAATCACATTGTCAGAAATTGGCATCAGCCAATGAGATCGCGCATTTAGAGTTAAATCCCCCCCTTTTACTTTCACGATTAGTTGCTGATAAAAAGGAAATGACCATATTTGGATCCGACAGTAATGTACAGGAGAGAAAGAGCTTGTACTCTCAAAAATCTCAAAATTAACCAGTGAAAAAAAAAACTATGTTTTTGCCTGCCGTGTCTCGCCTTAATAAAAATGCCGTGTCAGAGTGGACAGAAGGCCAAAAAGATGCGTTTTCAAACGAAAACGTTTTAGTGTGGACATGCAGAGTCCTGCAGAGTTCAGCTCCAACCCTAATCAAACACACCTGAACAAGCTCATCAAGGTGTGAAGGGTTGCTAGAAAGCTACAGACGGGTGAACTTTTATCAGGGTTGGAGCTGAACTCTGCAGGACTGAGGCTCTCCAGGACCGACGTCCGCCACCTCTAGATGGATGGATTTCTAGATGGTTGGTGAATGGCCTACCCCGTTCCAACCAGACTGCGACGTCAGCAAGGAGCTGGCATATTGGGGAGTGAGATGGAAGGTTCCCTTTAGGGTCCCTGAGGGTGTCAAAATTACTTCTGCAAGATATGTGGAGTTCATAACTGACCATTTTCTACTTTGGTATAAAAAGAAGGATAGTGCCTTCTGAAATAAAAGGATTTTCATGCAGGGAAATGCTGCAAAAAAGCACACAGCAATAAAACATTTTTAAAATGTCTTTCTACACCCACTGTAAACGTTTCTTAACAAACCTGTCTGAGATTGATATCAGTTATCTAAAAAGATTTGGAGGAATAAAAAAAATAAAAAAATAAAAATCTGAATGTCTATTGTGCTAAAATGACTGATATGTCAATTGCATAATAATTTGGAACACAGTGTGTCTGTATATATATATGTGTGTGTGTGTGTGTCGTGTAGCCTACTCATCTCAGACAGCGCGCACATATTGAGTTCTCTTTCAAGTCTTGCACTTTAATGGACAAATTCACACAAAAAGTATGTCAACATGTCTGTCTTGATGAGTATCCTAGCAGACATATACTGTTATGCCTTAAGTGAACTTATATGGTCAAGAAAGACACTCATAGTATCAGTGTAGGCCTACTAAATCACCTCTGAATTGAATAGCTTTTGTAACTTTAATAAGGAATAATATTTTATTTATACAGTCAAATATGCAATGTTATTTTACATTTGATTATTTTATTTAATTTCTGTAGCCTACCTGAAAACTACTGTTATACCTACCTGAAAAGCATAGTTTATTTTATTAGTATCTTTGCTCTATTGTATTAATTTGTGCTTTTGCTTGTGGTAAGATTATTTGTATATTATATTTTCTTTATTTTATTTGACAGTAGTCTTTTTTCCCTGAACATACCACATACCGAACCATACCAAAACCGTGAGCCTAAAACCGTGATACAAACCAAACCGAATGTGTACCCATGGGGACCTCAATTTAGGTCCCCACAGTGACACGAGTCCCCATGAGTCTGTGTGCATTCAGGTTTAAGTCCCCACCGAGATAGAAACACACACACACACACACACACAAATATTCTCACAGCGCACGCGAGTTCTCTTTCGCGTCTTGCTCTGGAATGTTTACACTGGCAAAGCTTAAATGAGTTTAGTTTTAAACACCGATAGTAACGTGGGCGGTTCAGGTCTCGCCTGCGCTCGCGCGCTATCGACTCCCGGGTGGTGATGACGGCGTAAATGACCGGTCATGTTCGAGCATTTGGCACTCGCATTGAACAGAGTTTACAAAGAGTAACAGTTTTGTTCACGTTTTTTTGATTATCGCTGTTGTAATGTATTATTTGGGAAGCCAGCAAGTGAATTTATTGACAGTGGAACTGTCTGTTTTACGCGTTGTTATTTGCAACAAACCAGATTAGAGATGCGTCATCAGTTTTTGAGATCAACCGCGGTGCAAGTGCATCCCGAACCGAGGGTGGAGAACGGTACGGTTCGATTTTTTACCGAGAACCGTGACACCCCTAGTACACATGCTTATAAATCATACAGAATGAGTTTTTTTGAAAATGTAAAAATGTAAAATGTAAAAAATAATTTAGTACAGTAACAGTTTGTACAGTATAAAAACCATTACATCTATGGAGAGTCCTCACAAAGATAGTAAACCAGTCGTGTGTGTGTGTAATTTTCTAAAATAAAAATGTATGAAATATTATATATTGCTAAAAATGAAACTTCTTTAAAAAAAAATCCTTATTGTTGAGCCCTGAAATGAGCACAACTGTATCTTTAACTCTCTTTTTGGTCTGTGAAGTAATCAATGCTTATAACCTCTGGATGGAGAGAAATGCAGATCGCATAGTCTCCACACATTACCGTTTCCTGTTATCTTTATAGCCACTGGTGGCGCCTTCATCAGAATTTTGAATGTTTACTTAGCCTGCACCAGTCTATTCATATTTACCCACCCCTACATAAAACCAAAACAAACCGCCACTGTTACTTTATATCTCCTTCAGAAGATCTCTTTCTGTCTCAGTGGGCTGTTCCTGGCCAGAATACATAGCAAAGTGGATCAGACTTCATGTCGAGGGTCTATGTGAGAAAAACACACCTAGACCAATGATCCCCAGCGTCTCTCCTCTGATCCGGGCCGCCCCAGACGCGACCTCTCGGATCTGTTCCACGCTCTGGACCCGCGTGCCCTCCCGGAGAGCCTGGTGTAGCCAGGTGGTGCGTCGGTACAGGTTCAGGATGTGACACATGGTGGAGTCTGACGTCTCCTCTACTGAAGCTGCTGGCATGTTGCAGACTGCTATACCTGCAGATGTGGAAGGGTTACGGTCAGGCTCTTCATACAGCAAACACACACACATACATTGTTGTTTAATGGAAAACTTTCTTAACCATTACCTAAGTCTCCAGCAGACTTTATGTCGATATTATCAAAGCCGCTCCCAATGCGGACAATTATACGGAGTGCTTTGAACTTTTCCAGGTCCTCCCTCATCAGCGTGATTGTGTGGTACATGAGGGCGCCCACTGCTTCATTTAACACCTGAGACAATATACAGAAACTACAGTCAGTCTGTGCTAAGAAGATACACACAAGTACAACAGCTCCAAAACTGAAGCGCAAAAAGTCGAAATGATTTTTCCTAACTAAGAGAAAGTGCAGTGATTGATTGACACATTTTACAGATGACGATTTGAAGAGACAAACCTTACTTGATCAATCACAAACGTACTTATTTGATTAGTAACATAGAAATAGTGCAGAACCTTAAGGCCCAGTTTCACAGACAAGGCTCAGATTAAGCCAGGATTAGGCCTTAGTTCGATTAGGACATTTAACTCTTTCCCCGCCATTGACGGAAATTCCCGGCTTTCAGTGTTTTCATTGTAATACGGTAGGGGGCGCTATTACACATCTTCTGAAAGACTACTGAATCTTCAGATCAAAACACAGGGGAAGAAGAAGCAGAAACAAGCGATAGCATAAGCAGATGCATATGTAAAACAACGTGATCATCAACATTAAACAGAATAAATCAAAACTGCCTAATGTTATTGAATGAATTGTCGACCCAGGACAAGCTATAGGACTCAATCTACTCCATCTATGTTTTGATCATCATTCTGAATCTGATTCATACGTAGACTTTGACAAAAATGTGATTTTCTCAGCTTTTTGCTCAAAATGTTGCTTTTTTTTATATAACATACCCATATTCAATTGTTGATCAAAAAGAATGTATTAAGCTAGAATAAAACTTTTTTTTGTTTAAAAGCAGAGTCTGTTCTTTCTTTTGATATATTGCATGTTCACATATTCATACAACAAAGTATTCTGGGGGCCATTCAACTTTTTGTGAAAATGAGCAAAAATGCTGGTTAAGTAGTTAAGTAAAAAACATAAATTGAGACTAGATTGCCGACCCCTGCACTATTTTGTATTTCTCAAGAATAACATTTTATTTTATTTTATTTTATTTTCAAATGCGCACAATACAAGTTATTTGAAAGTTGAACAAAATGAATACTCATTATTAACATGCACAGCATTGCAGACTTGAGCCAATTTCATCCTGGCCAAGAAGATTAAGCTATGAAATGAAATTAATTTCAAACTCCAGGTTCTACACCTTCATATGGGTAAACATTAAACCAGATGAATTGAAGTAATTACAAAAGAAAGAAAAAAGTAAATTAAAATGCGCATTATTTGTGTAATTGTGTAATTACATACATTACATTATATTATGTTTGGCGCATTTTTATTTGAACAATTCAGAAACAACAATATATTATTAGAATTGTAGAATACTTTACATCATGGTGGTATTAAATGTACTGAATTTAACTGATTTTAATCAATAGAAATTCAGGTGTGTACCATTGCAAAAATACTACCAAGATGTAAAAATACTTTAACCTCATAACCACGTTTTATTCATCTTCCATTTTATTTATTAAAGTAATGATAGTAATGTTTTTCCTATACGGTAATGAGAATGTGGGGATGCGTTTCATTGTCATGAGATAATATGCGCTTCGGTGATCATGTTTTTATGTGAATCTGATAAGGAAAACCTGATGTAGACTCTTTGTGGACAGTATAGGCACACACTCTACGCCTGCAACATGCTTCACTGTAAATATGACTCAGCATGAGTTTCGATTCTGCTGATGACCAAAAACAAGAGCTTCACTGTACAACTTCACTAACGAAGGGTTCATTATGATTAATCAGTTTACTTGAAAACACTTGTCAATCTAATAAACCATCAAGTTCTAGACAGCATAAGCAGATTTACCACATCATGGGCGCTATTTTAACAATCTAAGCGCATGGTCTAAAGCTCACGGCTCAAATGCACTTAGGGCGTGTCCGAATCCACTTTTGCTAGTTTAATGACGGGAAAAATGGTCGGCGCGCTCGACGCATGGTCTAAAAGTGTCCTCTAAATGAGTAATGGGTGTGTTTTGGCTGTAACGTGCAAATCAGAGTGTAATTTCCCATTCCCTTTAAAAGCCAGTTGCGCTCGCGCCATGGCGGATTCGCTATTTACATGACGAAATTTGCCAGCGGAAAGACTGAACGTCTCCAGAGAGTAAACGGATCTGCTCGTGCACGAGGTTAAAGCGTGCAAGCAGACCATCTACGGCAGGGGTTTTCAAACTGTGGGTCGCAGATTGGGAAGAGGTGGGTCGCGCAATCACTATATTGGCTGCAGCTGAATTTACGTTTCATGAGTGACACATACAAACAGGTTGCACGATGAACCAATGTTAAATAGAAATCGCTATATTGCTTAGAGCGATTTAAAATTAGATAAATATGTCAGTATTGTGTTTCATGAAGCGCGCCCGTGCGACTTGTGGTGATAACAATTTTCACCGTCTCAGAGCGGCTTCGGTTCTCTTTCATAGGTTCACTCAACGCTGCGTAGCTTAGGACGCAGTGGGAACGCCCTCTGGGTGTGCCGATTGTCTGAAGCCCTTATAGAATCACGCCAATTCATTGGCTGATGGCGCGGGCGCCGCCCCGACGCTCTTGCGTCGTCACATTATATTAGTGCGCGCGCGCCATTTGCTCCTCAGATTTCTCTGCCTTCACGAAGCGGCCATCTTAGCCCTTCGGTCTCGGTTTTTCTGGCCCAAATAGTTCGGATTTATCATCAGCATTCTTCATCTGCACTTCAGCGACTGCGAATAGTGGAACTCAGTTCTCCTTGCGGTGAAGTGCCATGGAGTTTCGTCGTTGCCCGCCGCCATGCGTTCGCTTTATTGCGAACGACGACCCTCACAGTAAGTGTGTTAAATGTATGGGTTTTTCGCATGCGCCAGAGGCTGTTTTAGGCTTGTCTAAATGCAAGTTTTGTGACAACCTGCTTCTCAAAACCCTCCGCTCTCGGCTCGCAGGTTGAGAAGGAGTCATTTGAGAAGGAGTCATTCGTTCCCCCCCGTCGCGCTCCCGAGGCTGCCGAGGCCTCGTTGGAATCCGCGACCTGGGGTTCGGATGTAGAGCTCGAGGATATAGAGTACGAGCAGACGGGCCAGGCCCTTTCTCTCCCTCCCTCTCCCGAGCACGCACGCGGTGTTCGGCCAGTCGAGTTTTCGCATGATTATTTATGCCCCAGCCCGAGGGCGCGCGAGACGGTTTCTTTCGGCCTGGAAGATATTATTTACACTACAGCATCCGACTCTGAGGATTTCGGGCCTGTTTTAGCTACTGACGGTCTCCCGCCTAGCGGCCAGGAGGCGCGGCCTACTGCGGCCTACACGAAGCTTATCGACGTGCTTTCGCGCGCTACGGAGAAGCTCTCTATCGACTGGCCCGACGAGCCCCGCGAGTCACAATCGTCTAAACTCGACAAGAGATTTTTAAGTGGCCCTAATTCTAGGCCTGAGCGGAGAAAGCTGCCCTTCTTCAGTGATCTGCATCACGAGATCTCCAGATCCTGGAAGCAGCCTTTTTCCGCGCGTCTAACAAACGCGGCAGCCGCTGACTTCACCAACCTCGTTGGTTCTGTGGAGCAGGGCTATTCCGCCATTCCAGTGGTTGAGAACACGTTGGCTACTCACCTTTCTCCGTCGTCTGCTCCGTCGTGGAAATCTCGCCCCCTCCTTCCCTCTAAACCGTGCAGGACTACTTCCGCCCTTATCGGAAAGTCCTACATGGCAGCTGGTCAGGCAGGCATGGCCCTACATACTATGGCCATCCTCCAAGCCTACCAGGCGGATGTCTTGAAGGAGATGGACGAGGGAACAGGAATTACGCCAGAAGCTGTCAAAGAGCTTCGTAAGGCCACGGATCTGGCCTTAACAGCCACCAAACACACCGCACGCGCTATAGGTCGTTCTATGGCAGGGGCGATTGCTGCAGAGCGCCACCTATGGCTTAATCTCACGGAGATCCGTGACAAAGAGAAGGTTTTCCTCTTGGACGCCCCAGTTTCTCAATCTGGACTGTTTGGGGAGGCGGTCAACACTGTGGTTGACAAGTTTCGGGCCGCAAAATCCCAGTCAGCTGCCCTCAGGCAGTTTATGCCCAGGAGGGCTAGGGAATCCTCTAACCCATCCCCGGCTCAACCCAGAGAACGTTCGTCTCATAGGCCGGATTTTGCTGCTAGGAGAAGTGACTCGGTTCATCCCCCACCTGCTACGGTTTGGGGAGCCCGCGGTCGCCCGTTCCCCCGCCAGCGACCTCATAAGCGTCTGGAGCTGAAGCGGTCTAACAAACCCTTCGCTCCAGCCTCCTCGAATCGTTCCTGACCCGCAGGTCAGAAAGAGGAGAGCTTCCCCCGATTTACGAGGTTGGGACAGACCGCGAAAGCGTTTCTGCCCACCTCTAACTCGCTCTCCTTCTCTAAACCTGTCACTTTCGCCACCCGGCGTGTTTCGAAGTGCAGTTACTACTCGACCTCGTTCAAACCGTCCGGCGCAGGAGGACGGAGACGCGTTCAGCTTTCTTCCCTTGCCTCCGACGCGTTTGATACCTGTTGCTCGCGTCCTCGGAGACACTTTCGGTTTTCCTCAGGAGCAGGCAGACCCTATGATCTTGATCAAACAGGCAGTGGTACCTCCCGCTACGTGTCAGGACGTCAAGTGCCCTCCTTCACGTTGGACCATGCCACCCCACAGGAGTCAGCGCCTCACCCTAACTCAGGTATGTCCGCCACATTGCAACACTCCTCTTCCTCTCTCTCATTTCTTTCAAGAATGGAGGCGTCTGCCAGGGGTATCGCCTTGGATCCTCCGCACGGTTCGGCTCGGCTACACACTTCAGTTCTGTCGCCCGCCCCTTTGCTTCAACGGAGTCTTTCCAACTGTAGTCAACAGCGCCTCAGAGGCTTCTGTACTACAGCAGGAGATTTCGTCCCTTCTCCTCAAGGGAGCAATAGAAGAGGTTCCTCCGAAGGAAGTCGAGCAAGGCTTCTTCAGCCGTTACTTCTTGGTCCCGAAAAAGGGCGGAGGTCTGCGACCAATACTGGACCTGCGCCGGCTAAATTTCTCCCTTTACAAAGGGAAATTCAAGATGTTGACGCTGAAAGC